AAGGGATCCTGAAATTGTGGTGACCTGGCCATAAAATTTCTAAAGATTGTTTTCCTGATTACTTAATGGCAAACTTCATCATAACGTATTTGGTATATTGGGGATTTCTCTTGGAAGGAGAGCAATGTGATGCCTTTGAAGAGGATGCAATCCATCTACCTGCTTATAAAGAGTTGCTGTTAATTGTAACAAATTTATTTGCGTTTCTTTCTCTCTTTCACTTTTGTTCTGCAGTGCTTAGAAATGAAATGAGATAGAACACAAGTGCCAAGCTGTGCTTATTCCACTCCTAACTGGATTCACTTATGTTTATATTAGGCTTGTTGGACAGGGGTTGTTAAATGAAGTGTTTCTGTGCAAGCATTTCCAAATACAGGTCTAATTCTTGCTGATCATGGTAATGACATTTAATGCTTACAATAGGGGAGGTGAGAAATGATTCCTTTCTGCTTCCCAGGCTCACTAGGGAGTGAGGAAATCACTGTTACAAGGAGAAGTACTTTGTATTTTGAGACTTTGACTATTCTTCCTACATTGAAAGAGAATTTCTGTATTTGATATGCAAAAGACACAAAACCATGAACAAGAGGGTGAAACACGTAAATTCTAAATTTTATAATAAGCACATGTAGTACTGTTGACAAGGTTTTGGGAAAAGCCTAGGGGGAGAGGGAGAAGAATATGACCATTACATGAACAAAGACAGCATATGGTTTCTTGGATTGCTTGATATTTGGTCCGTCTGTCCGTTCCCCCCCACCCCCCCAAATTGCACTGTACTGATTTATTTTTATCTGGTCTTTATCTCATACTTTTGCACTTTTTTAGTTCCTGTCCTTTGAACTTAGTCTTAGACCCCAAAAAATCATCAGATGCTTGGAAAACTACCATGAGGAAGTCCTATTTGTATAAGAATCTGATTAAGAAGGAAAACTGCTGTTATTGTGTCTGGAAGAAGGAGAGAAAAGTATGTTGTAAGTCAGGATAGAATTCATTGGAGGACAGTACAGTAGAAGAGGGAAGAATTATAGAGGAAAACTGAGGCTAGAGGGAGCCTGTTGAAGCTTCAGACTGCAGGTGGAGACCACAACTGAATTCAGTCAAACCAAATGGCAACAGATTGATGCATAGGCAGAGGAAGCAGGGACAATTATACTACGAAATAGCATAAAGACGCTGCCTGTTAATGTAGGGATGAGGTCAGGAGGCCAAGGCACAGCTGGAGCTGTGCTAGAGAACAGATGCAAATAATAGTAAGAAGGGCAGACACACAGGTGCAGAGCTGAGCAAAACAGGGGGAAAGCGTGCAAATAATACCTGTTCCCTGCAGATGGAACAGGCAGTAACAGGTCAGAGGTAACATGGAGTCATGGAACAAAGAGTACATGGCATAATAGTGATGGCAATGAGATCCTAGTATGACCAAGTAAGAAACATCAGCGTCAAACCTTCTTTAATATTGTTAGTAAAGCTGAGGGAATTTTCTGTCATCTTCAACCACTTATTTTACTTTACTATCTCATCATTAGCCCTGTGGTACTACTGAGAGCCCAAGGGTCTCGGTGTGCAGTTTTTCCAAGACCAGACAGAACAGCCCTGCGCCCACCCAGCGTGTCATTTGTGGACATAAATACCGGAATTTGAAAACAAACAAACAAAAAAAGACTGGATTTCTTACCAAAAACCCCACCTGCTCAATTAGAAACACACTGCACAGATGAGAAGGCAAAGCAATGTGAAGATATCACAATTCCTAAGGCCTGATAAGCATTAGGACCACCTAGCATTGCTCCTAACAGCCGAAGTGCTGGCTCCCGATGCCATGAAAGGGGCAGCCACACCAGAGCAAAAAACAGAGCTCCCTGAGGCAGCTGTAACCTCCCGCCTCACACCGGGATGGGGTGTTTCCAGAGAACAGCAGCTCTGGGTTCTGGGTGGAGGAGGTGGTGGGGCCCAGCGGACACGTGAGGAAAGGGAAGGCGTAGCACCGGGAAAAGCAGGAGAAAACAGCACGGGTGGGGATACACCACCACCGGCATTGCCAGTGACACTGACACTTCTGCTGCAGCTTTCTCGCTTTCCTTTAATTTACTGAAGAATACTAAAAACAACAAAACAACAGCAACAATAATAGTAATAATACTAGGAATTGGGCCAGATTCCAGATCTCTTGGGGGTTGGCCCGAGCCCCAGCTGCCAGCCTGGCTGTGTGCTGTCCAGTCTCTGAGGCCCCCTCCCAGTGTCAACGACTGCGGGGTGGCTTCTTGGGGGCCTGGGAGGGGTCCTCAGGGCTCCCAGCAGCCTTTTGCAGGGCTCGCGGGGGCCTCCTAGGGCAGCTCTGGCGGCTGCAGCTGTGAGCAGAGGACCCGGGCACAGGCTCCTGTGGGGCCTCCCGGGGCTCTGCTTGATCCCCACGGGTGCCAACTCTGGCACTGGGGGAGTTCCCAGGAGCCCTGCGTGGTTCTGGTCCAGGGGCAGGAGACGCCGCTCGGGAGGCAGCAGGACCGGGAGCAGTCATGGCGCTCCCCTCCCGGTCCCTGGCTGCACGGGCGTTCCCAAGGCCCATACGGTGTCGGGCCTCCTCGCTGCACCGGCGCACAACGGTGTCGATGAGCTGGTGGACGAAGCTCCTCGTGCGCTGGCCCAGCGACTCCTGCAGCACCTGGATCAGAGCCTCCTCATCCAGCCCAAAGAAGCACAGGCTGGAGATGACGAGGCTCTGCGCTGCCGGCACTGCCTGGGCATCCTCCACCAGCTGCCCCAGCTCCCGCTGCAGCCAGGGCAGCAGGGGATCGAGGACACGGGGTGGATGTGGAAGATGAAAGCCCAGAAGTACACGTGGAAGCCGCCCAATGCAGCCATGCGCAGGTGTCCCGCAGCTGGTGGCTGGGGTGCTGCAGGGCCATGGAGGCCTTGGGCGGCTGCGTGTGCCGGCCCCCCTGCCGTCAGGCGGATGATGGGTGATGCCGCTGCAGGTGGTGGCAGGGCACGTTCCTCAAAGTCGTCGTCCGCCCGCACCGAGTGCACGATGGACGTCATCCTCCTCTTGCAGAGGGGGCACTCGGGCTTGCTGTCAGCCCACCGCGTGATGCAGGGGTAGCAGAACTGGTGGAGGCATGGCAGTACGTAGCTGGCCTCCTCCCAGCTGTCCAGGCATATTGGACAGCGGTGCTCCAGCTCCGTGGCCATGCTCTTCATGGGCTGCGGTGGGCTGGGGGGAGCAGGCGGTGTGGAGGTGCCCCCTCTCCCTGGCGATGCAGCAGCGGGTGTCACGCTGGAAGAGAGGCCACAAGCAGTCATTCGCTGCTCCAGGGAGCGCTGGAACAAACGTCCAGGCTCCTCAAGAGGGAAACCCTCTTGGCTGCCCAGGGTGAGGTTTCCGGGCACAGCTCACCTCTGCTGCTGCGAGCGCTCCTGCGCGGTGTCCCGGCTGCCCCAACCGGACAGGGCAAGTAAAATCCCCCAGTGGCTCTGGGGTCGGGCACTGAGAGTTGCAGTGAAGAGCTCCCTGAGCACGACCTCAGCTCCAGCAACAGCCTCACTCAACACTCCAACTTCATGGACTCGCTCAGCTGGAATGCGGGCACAGCCGATGGGTGAGAGGCGATGCCTACCTAGAAGCCACGAGGGACTTGATGTCACAATCCATCGCTTGGGGAAGTCCTGTTTCATCGCTTGGAATGTCACGCTCCATCCTTCGGTGACACCACATCCCGTTGCTCGGTAACTCCACCGTCCATCCCTCGGTTGGGCGTTGACACGTGTGCCTGTCATCACTGCAACGCCACTGTGCGCTAACCTCCCATCTCTTGTTTGTGCCTGGCCTCAGTGCTTCATGCCCGTCACCCACACCTCAGCTACGTCATGCTGGGTCAACGTGAGGTTGCTCTGGCCATGGCTGACGTCCCCAGGCACGTGTGGCAAAAGGGTCCTTTCGATAACCCCTCGTGCCTCCCTTGGAGGCCTCAGGACAAAGTCCCGCAAGCTCTCTGCAAAGCCCAGCCCTGCCGGCAGCCCTCTGGGCTCCACAGCTTCCTGCCACAGCAGGTCGCGGGCAGCACTCTGCTCTCAGGGATCTTGTTCTGCCCACAGGAGAGCCCCAGTGCATGGCTGCCTCCAGCCCCAGACACTGGGTGTCCGTCTGCCTGTCAAAGATGGCTGCACCGCACTCACCCCATGCAGACACCACAGGACGCCGACCCTTTCCCAGAAGGGCTTTTGTTCACGCTGGCCCTTTCCCAGAAGGGGTTTTGTTCAAGGTCCACTTGATGGCCTTTACAGGCCCCTTCACACTCAATCCATTCTATAGCTCTATGGTTCTAGCCAAAGCTGCAAACACAGCAGAGATACAGGCCTGGAGCTGGGCAAACGAGGCTTTTGAGGGGAGCAAAGGGGACGTAGACATAATACTCGGTGTCTGTGGAAGCAGGAGGTGGAAGGAAGGAAAGGAAGGAAAGGCAGGAAAGGAATGATGACAGTATGGATCATCAGGCACTTGAAGAAAGGATTCCTCAGCCCTTTCAAATTAACTGCTCATTTGCAGTTTTTTCTTCCTTCACACTTTTGACTTCCACGAAAAAGTCGTATTTATTTACTACGAAAAGATAAAAACTACTGTTGCTGGGAAAAGTCACCATGAATGCATCTGTTCAGGCTACCACAACTAGTTGATGGCCATTGAACATATGGGAAAATTTTCTACCAACATCTGGGGGATGCCAGAGGAGCTCTAATACAACAGCATTACAGCAACATTTTTCTTTACCTCAGTAAGTACTTGTCCTTAGTGTTTTATACCGGTGTCTGATATCTCTAACAAAAGTTTGTATTTCATTTACTGCTGCATGACTTCTTGTACATCTATCAGTCATTCAAAATCTTGAGATTTTTCTGAAATATTGTACAAGTAAGCTGGGTTTAAAATACCAGGGTAATGCATGTGCATGTGTGCAATCATACTGGTACAAAATAATTGCACTCGGTTTGTAAATCAACAGGAATCAGCAGAAACTAAGTTTTATTAAACCAGTTTATCACAAAATGTTAAATTACAAAAATAAGTTCATCTGTAATGATGTTAAATATTAAATACAAAGGTAAACCAGTTATATAGTGTTCTTAAAATAGAATAGAACTTTTTATGTGCAAGTAGCTGACCCAGAAGCTCTTGTTTGAGACTGCTGGTCTGCATTTATCAACAATATTTAGTTCTTGCAAGTGGAAGATACACGGAAAGGAAACTACATGTTAAAGAACTGAATTTCATGTAGGCAAGATTGAAAGCAGTTAAGAGTTTCTGTGCTGCTTAAGAACATCACCAATGCAAGCCTCAAATCCATTTTAAGTAGAACAATGAAACCGAACTCCAGCAACTGTTCAGAAACCAAACTCCCAACAACTGCTGAGACCTTTTTTTCACTTGTCTTCCACATCTTCTACCATAGCTTCAACTGCATCCCAGTCCAGTTTGCTAAGGATACTTCCTGTGCTTTCAGAAACATCATCAGTGTAAACAGTGCCAGGCTGCAATGCAGAGGCCTATTGGAGGAAAAGAACATTAGCTGAATCATTGCATGTCATTTACAGACAATGCCTCTGTATAGCCAGCAAAAACAACCTTGTTCTTTTCAGAGGTCCTAAACAAGTTATGTATCTGTATTTATGTGTAGGGCCTACAAGAAATCTGGAAAGAGATTTTATACCAGAGCATACAGGGGTAGGACAAGGGGTAATTCTTCGCTCTGATGGTGGCGAGGCACTGCAGAAGTTGCCCGGAGAAGCTGTGGCTGCTCCGTCCCTGGCAGTGCTCAAGACTGGGCTGAACAGGGCTTTGAGCAACCTGGTCTAGTGGCATGTCACTGCCCATGACTGGGGATTGGAACTACATGATCTATAAGGTCTCTTCCACCCCAAACCATTCTGTGATTATGCCCCAACAAATCTGATTTATTTTACTGTTTACGCACTCTCACTAGCCATCTGTTGCCTGGACAGACAACAAAGAACATTCCTTTTCAAGGCTCAAAAGAATTGATTTTGCTTGTAAAGAGAAAATGTAGTTCTGTTGAATCACCACCATCTATATCCCCCTGTATCTACCCCATCCACAGGTTTTGAACAGACATCCACGTTTTAAATAAAGCAGAAGTAAACAAAGTATTAAATGGCAAGTATCAGATCATTCCCAGAACAAGCAGAGATTCTACCTGAAACAGGGAGTCATGAGTATCTCGAAGTATTCTTTGGATATCATCAGGCACAGTCCAAGGGCTTACTATGTCTCGATCAGTCTCTTGATGAAGTTCTTCTGTCTGAACTGTGGTGGCAAGGTGTGGATGGCTTTGTTTTGATGTTCTGCTGACTCTGTACTCAGCAGCTGAGGAGAAAACAAGCCAACCATGGCACTGTAACATTTCTTGCTGTTTACTCCTGCATGTCCTGAAACTTCTTCAAGAACAGAAGCTCCAAGTTCTAAGAACTGAAGCAGTGTGAAAACATGTGAAGACCAGCATGACCTGTAGTCTTGAACTAATGCTTCATGCTCTGAACTGTCCTCCTGACACGCAGACACGTGGAATACAGAACACGAAGTGGAACAGGACTATCCACAGTGCCTACAGCATGCAGGCTCTGTAGTGCAGTCCTCAAACAGGGATATTGCTACATTATTTGACAGAAGAATAAAACTGTGTAAATTCTGGATTAGTGCCTCTTAGAAGACATGGAAATTTAGTGATACCCTTAGCAGTGATGGTACATACCAGAGGATCTGATACAAGAAGGTGATGTTAAATCAGAAAAAGGTCAACCTGCATTTAGAGCTCAAAGTGAGAATATATGGAAAGGAGGAGAGTGACTTTTTCACACTTGTAGGGGTGTGAAAATCTCACATCTCTTCAAGAATATGATTAGGAGTAAACATTTATGCGAACAAATTTTTGTGGATCCAGACCTACAGAGACAGGCACAGGGAAAAAAAAAAAAGATTACTAAAATCCCAAATTAAAAAAAAAAAAGTTCAGTCATAGATTTTTCCACTCTGTGACAAAATTGTATCTTAAACAGATACTATACGAAGTGATACTCAGAAAGTAAGCAGTGCTAGAAAGGTAACAGAGAGACAGAATACTTGTGTACTGTACTAATAATTAACTTTCCCTGTGTGTTTCAGCTGAACAAAAGAAAAGTCCTCTGTCCCTCATGACATTGTAACGCCTGTTTCAGTATTCTGAGGCCTATTCTGAGGTCTACATTGCATAAATTTTACCCAGGATGTTTTCTGAAATGTGTTCCCTGTCTTGTTTTCCCCCTGTCCTACGTAGCTGAACAGCACTATGTCAATGCTCTATGTGACTTACAGTGTCTAGAATTAACAGGACAATTTGCAGCGGTTTTCATTCTTCCTCTGGAAGCACTTTTTTGAAGGAGAGTACAAGCTTTTCCTGGAAAGATAAAGAAAGCGTTTCCTCTCTTAGGTGCATCAGATCGAAACTACACAAAAGATGCTTCAAAATAATGTGTGAGCTTGCTTCCTGGATTACACAGTACTCTCGCTATGACAAATTATGCTACTCTGGATTTAGAAAGAGATAAGGAAAGGTTAACTCATAATCTAGCAGACCAATGACAGCACTGTTACGAAAGTCTCAAAACAGGAAGCCTCCGGGATTATTAATCTGACTTTCTACATAGGTATTAAAGCTCCTCCCTTACGAAATCCTGTAGTAAGTTAAAGATTATCATCTCCAGTTTGTGCTTTTTTAATAAAGTTCTGTACTTACCCCTGGAATGTGTTAAACCAAGAGATGGAGTGGAACAGCATACTTTTTGCCCAAGGCTAGGTTTGGCAGCAATTCTGCTCCTTTCTGACACAACAGAACTGTTTGGATGCCCTCTACAACAAGAAAAAAACAAAAAACAAAGCCCAAAATAATTACCACTGTCTACCACACAGCATTCCCCCACACAACTTAGATCTAACAGATCTTACTCAGATGATGCAAAAAGATCAGAAACCTCCTTCAGCCCACTTAGCTGAGGATCAGCAAAACACGCTGACTGTGAGCCCAGCAAGTCCCATGAGAACCAGAACTGCTGGCAATCACAGTGAAGACACCAAATTGGCTTTACAAAGAGGCAGCCCACAAAACTTAGAAGTTAGTGCCATTCCTAAGGTGGCTTCCTACAGTGACATTCCCTAGTGCTTTTGATTCTGGCAGGGCTGATGTACTTAAACTGCCCTCATAAAGTTCTGTTCTGGAACTTCAATTACTAAAAACAGATGCAGAAATATTTAAGTTTGGCAGTTACAGGATTATTTGCTCTATTATTCTGGAAAACATAAAATAGTATGTAGAAGAGGAAACTGCAGTATACACCTGGCTTACATATACACAACATGATGTTAATGCCATCAAAGAGAATAAATCTACCAATTTATAATACTCATAACATCATCTCCTCAAAAGGCAATAAGCACCAAAGTGCAGAAGAAAAAATAATTCCTAGGTAATGAAAAAAAACTAAAAAGGAAGACAGTAAACCTAGAGTTTGCTGAAGTCAAATTAGTCTGTATGCATGGACAATGGTATTTTTATTTGTTTCTCACTTGTTACTAGATGCTCTTCAGATCATTAACTGGGTTGCTGGCTATAGTCCAGGGCAATTGCTTTTGAGTGGAATGGGTGAGGACATTGATTACATCTCTGACTAGACCTGGCTCTGAAAAGCATTTTTAAGGTTCCCTCCAAGACTATACAAGTGGATGGAAAAAGACTGGTACAGGAACTTAAGACATCTCTGATACAAAGTGTACCTTTGATTCTGCCGGAATATAAAGCTTCTGTAAAGCTAATCCTGTATCAGTCAGCTTCAAACTGCAGACTGACTTGAAGTGTGGTAAACACACCAATACATTAGAGCAGGTTTAACACTTATAAGGTTGTTACCTTTTAGCAGGTGCCATACACCTTTTTTTGTACTCTTGAGGTGATCTTGTCTTTGGCAGTGTTCTATATTCATCTGCTGTTACCACCACTGTTTCAGATAACATTTCATTCATCAGTGAAAGTGCTTGTGATATTCTTACATTGTGATGTTCAGTTAACAGGGCTCTGTGGAGAAAAGAAGTATTATATATTACCTCATGCTGTCACTCATTTCATTGCAGATGGCTTGTGACTCTAGTAAGGTTATATGCTAACCAGAACAGAACGCATTTTTTCACTTTCAGAGAAGATACCCTAATTCTTCTAAGCTCATCACCGAAAGCTAAGACATTTATTAACAATGGGTTTGTCAGAATAAGTAAGTCAATGTTGGGGGAATAAAAAAAATAAAGAAAAAAATCATATCCAGGAAGTAAAAAATAAAGTCAAAGGATGAAATCTGTTCTGAGTTTTCCTAAATCATAAAGCAAATATGGATTACTTATGCTTCTGACTGAAATGTCATTTATAGCTGAAGTTTCATAGACAGCTAACCTGGAATATTAATAAATAAACAAGAATACAACAACTTATATTTATAGAAACTTACTTGTGTTTTTCTTCTTTCATCTTCTGGAAGCATTTAATATCCTTAGACGTAAGACTACAATGCTGTGCAAGAAAGAATAATAATCATTAAGTTATCACGTATTTCATTCCAATCTCTTACTCTTAGAATGTACACCTATTTGACTTGACAATTACTGTTTAAAACACTCTCCTCAATGAACAACAATATGAAAGCACATGGTCCTATTACGAAATTCAGGTAAGACTGCCTCTGTAACTTTTCAGTCTCCAAAAATATACTGAAAGCTTGCAGCCACACCTTCCATAGGTCAGCAACACTAACATTCTTGAGGAGATGTCAAGCCCAGTTTCAAATGGCCTCACCTTCAGTTTCCTAAAAATCAGTGACATTCCTAACAGCAACTAGTTTTAAAAAAAAAGGGTTAGGTTACACTTTGACCTGTGTTTGCTAGTGTACCATTTTATTTTTTTAGCACCTTCTTCTAAAAATGAAATAAATAAAAAAACTACCAAAAGCTGAGAATCCATCTAATGATTTCAGAAGAAAAGCTTGTAACAAAAGCATCAAATATATATGAGTTGGCAACAAAGGAGAGGGAGAGAAGCAGGATACATTTTTCCTGAATCACTTCTCTCTAAATATGTACAAAAGAGCAGTCAGGTTCAACTCTAAAAGACTGTTTAATACCGTGGGAAATGCTGTATTTCATAGATGAGATCCGTCACTCTTTCTAAAGTGAATATTACTTAATAATAGGAAACTTTTGTGTGTTACATGTTTGTTGCTTGGGAGTCAAAAACAGTGTAGCTTCATCATGAAAGAATTTACAGCGTACCCTGCATTCTGCTGATGATCAGAAAGTACAGGGATGTATTTGCTGTTGCTAGGTCTCACGTCCTGTATCCCTGAAGCTTTCCCTGACTCAGCAGTGTCTTTTCTGGTTCCGAAAGGTATCCAGGTGACAAATGCGTATTTTAAGACTTAACACTGATTGGGAAATAATTTCTGAACCACATTTGTACTTCCACTCCCCCATTCCCCCCCACCTTGGGTTACTTCCAGCAGTGTAGATCAGAAGAAACACAAGTGCTTTTACTAATTAAACTTAAAATTAAAATAATTCTGGGAGGGAAGGCATTGTGTGCTGTGCCTGTACTGAAACCAGCCTTCAATTCTAACATCCCTGCTGACACTCTGGTAAGTGCATACACTTAACGTTTGTGTGAATGACAAGGATGGCTGCCCTCAGTATCCTGTTGCATTTGTAAAGGATGCTGGCATCTGAACTTCACCTTTTAAATTCATTGAGGGTTTTAGGAAGGTGCAAGGGCAGTTGAAACAAAATGTAAACACATCTTTACAACCTTTGTAGTTATCACTCCCTGACAAAGTACAGCTTTTATCCATTATATGTTACAGCTTTATCCATTACAGTCAATGGACTATGCTTCCTGAATCTAGAGCTGGGGGACAGGTTGTAATTGCCACCTGAACTGTCATTACTGCAACATGGTATATTTGCTTACTGATCACTTCTGACACAACTAAAGATGGTTCCAATAAAACCAACATTAAAATAGGAAAAAAAAAAAAAATATCACCAACAACCTTCGTATTTTCTAACCTGAACAATCAACACTTGTAAAATACAGAACAAATACTCTTTATGATATCCATTATTCCTACCCCATTCTTTCTTGGACTGAATGGATTATGCTCTTTCTGTCTTTGTTCATCCAGTTTCTTTATATATTCTCTCATTCTTTCCTTTTGCTTTCTTTTCATCCATGCTTGTATCTCTTTCTTCTCCTTTTCCGTCTTTCGAGAATGTCCAGCAGCAGAATCATGAACCCTGAGAGCAGATATAAATTGCAAATAATCTAGCTCATTCTCTAAACTGCAAACAATTGCAGCTACACATAATAATAATACTGCAATTCCTTTACAATTCTAATTCAGCTGAAAGAGTAAGTAATGAAAAATGGAGAAGTTTTCCTTTTCAAAACTTCACAAAATCCTGTCACACAAGTAATTTCCAAGATGATCCCTATTTTTTTTTAATTTGTCAACTACATTCAGATAACAGGACCAAAGCTTTAAATGTGGACCATCTGTTATTGTTTATAGGATTAATAGGACAAAACCCCTGCAAGTCACTGTGCTTTGATCTTTAGTTTTAAGCACATGTAAGTATCTAAGAAGAAAAGAAGACCAGTGAGATTGTAATCCTTTTTGTTGCATCCTATCAATCTATGAGCTCCTTCACATGTCTATCTGTTCAATGTAATTTAAAAAACACTAACTCAGAATATTAAATGCACAGCCAGTAAGAAATGCTAACATAAATGTATTTCCAGAGTTCTTCAGAAATACTTACTAATTCATCTTGCAATTGTCTTTAAAATAAGCAGCTGGGAAATACATGTTTTCTTCACTGCAAAACTGAAAGTACTGCCCCCAAAATTTAACAGATTTTTCCAAGACAAGTGTTTCTATTATAAATGTCTCATTTTTAAACTTCTCTCACTTTCAAGGCTGGCAGGTACTAATAATTCCAGAAACAAAAGAAGATATGATTGTAGAAAAATAAGGTATCTTTAGTAGCTGTAAGTTCAACTGAAAGCTTATGGATTGAAGCATTGAAGTCCTCAGGGAATTACAGCTTTGACACAACTGAATATGATTTACTTTATGGCAATGGGAAGTGTCATTATCAGAAGTGCTCGCAGTCATGTATGAAAATAAGTAGGTGAAACTGAGTTGCGTTTAGGTCCCTGGTCAGGTTTGATTAAATACAACTTGAACACATTTCTGAAATTTTTAGTGATTCTGGAAGTATTCATATACTTGCACAAAACAGCTAGCAACATTTAAATGTTGATGTAGTCATTACTAATGTGTTTGTAATTCTCAAAGGATCACAAGGATATACTAATTTGTGCAGAGATTAAACTTTGAACCTCTTGAGCTCCTTCTACAATCTGAATAAATCTTAGAACATGTAAACCAGAGCACTACCTTCTACTCAAATCAGTCATTAGAACATCCTGAAACAGGTATCTTAAACTGGTGTGAACTGTTGCACTAACGCAACAGACTGCTTGGCATCCTAAACAGCTGTATTTTTTGTCTTGTAAGCAACTGATACCACAAACAACAGTAGGAAACAGCTGTAATTTCAACCTATCTCAGGAAAGAACACAGCTGACTTTGTAACTGACTGTCAGGAAGGTGGAGAAACCTCCAGCAGGGAGGGGAGCATGACAAGCTGGAGACTGGGGCCAGAAGGTTGTGAAGCTGCTTTGCCACTGACAGGAAATTTCTATTTTATCTTTTAGAAGTCTCCAGTCACCTTGGCTGAACTGAATTTCCTGTATATATAGAGCTGTGCTCTAGCCTACACCTGGTAAAAGATGAACAAGCAAGTAGAAAGGAAAGAATTTCAAAACCAAAATAAAAAAAAATGTAATTTGTACATGTGACAATAATAGCTGTAAAATAGTGGCTATTAAACAGTTTTAATACTAGTCTAATTAACATCAAGTTAAATTATATGCTTGTTTCCATTGTTTACAGGGTGTGAACTATGAGAAGAATAAACAGGGTTAAAATTATTTAACTAACATGTAACAAAATGCAGCCATGGTTTACCTGGAGATTTTCTCAGCTTGTAGTTTTGTAAAGCCCAACTCCAAAGGACAGACATCACCTTTTACTACAAGATCAGTAATGATATCAGTAACACCACTCAGGCCAGTAATTTGTAGGGGATCTTCTAAAGGGCTTAAAGTCAGGAGAAAAAATTGTTACAAATTTAAAGTAGAACATGCCTGTAAGAAGAACAAGCTAAAATCTTTCCTTTTACGCTTAACAGCAGAATATTCACGTCATTTAAAGGGAAGCCTTTGGCCTGAATATTCTTTCCCCTACATCTCACTATGCTAATGCACAAGCAAAACCTGGGTATGTGTGTAGATGTATTGTCTTAAAAAAGTTAGCAGCCACCATCTTAGCTTTGCTGTCATCCTGTACACTTCAGCCAACAATTAGCCTCACACGTGTGAAAGGGACAGAATGAGTGAGATCTGACTAACATCAGGGGTACTGCAACAAAATGGGCTTTAAGTAAACCATCCAGAAACATGGCCCCATCCAGAGGTGAAATGCCTGACCTCCACTGGGGTGCGTGAACACGGACGGCCCAGAGGAGGCTGAGCCTGGCAGGCCAGAAGACCAGGAGCATCCACAGGGTGCTTCAGTCTGTTGTTCTACCCTGTTCATATGGTAACATTTCCAAAACTTTCTGGTGATAGCTGGCCACAGTATATGACTACTAGCAGCTGTTACATATCCTTGTTCAAAAACTAGTGCTTTGCACATACAAGAAATAAAACACACACATAGGCAATAGCAGCATCTATATTAACAGATCTGTTACTTGTAACTAGAAAGCAACTTTGAATGCTAACACAGCATTTGCATGAAGTAAATTTAACAGGCACTACAGAAGTCAGAGTAAATGCCTGAAATTAATTAATAAAAAGGCTTCTATTCAGTCTGAAAATGAATGCTTAGGTTTTTACATAAGTGATGGTTCCACCTTGACAGTCCACTTTTTAGTAGGAGTTTAAAGTAAACAAAGTTTCAGTAAAGCCAGTATCAAAATACATACCTATCACATAGATCTTTGCCTGAAACAGAAACAGCCTTTGTTATTATAAGTTTTGCAGTTATAGACAAATTAGTAACACAAGTTAAGCAGCCCATAGGATAAAATACAGAAATACCTCAACCTGAATATGCTAACATTAAAAATAAATTAATATTGAACATAAGTTTAATGACCCAAGAGAGCATGTCATCAACTGTTAAGATTAATATGTAGTCTTCAGCGAACATTAACAGCTCCCTGGCTGACATGGCTAGTTTTGTTAGGAAGATTGAAGATCACTCTTGTTAGTCTTCTGCCACAATCAAACTAAGTTTATCAGTTCCAACTGATTGAGAATTATAGGCTCCAATAAGCTATACCGTGTTCTATGGCAAATTAACAATTGCTGTTTACTTGAAGAAGCCAGAGTGCAAACTCCCGGAATTCAGGAAGTGCAGCTGAAGAGCGGTATGGATGTCTTGGAAGGAAGAGCATTATTATCGTTCCTAACTCGAATTCCACTCTCAAAATATTATAGTTGCAACTCAGTATCACCTACAGTGTTTTACCTTGCAAGTAACAAGTTTATACTTCAAGAGAAAACTAAGTGTATTACTGTTTATAAAATTCATCTGTGCACGGATGCCATTTGAGATTAACTTCTGCTGTATGCAGCTATAGGAGTTGTGTTTTAACACCTTTTAAGATAGTTTGCTGCAAATGTGAGTGGAAAATATATGTTCACCTGTACAAAGTACATATCATTAGAACTTCAATGTAAGCAACACAGGCAGCGTGCAGACAAAAGAAGACACACTACATTTTTAAACACAGGCAATAGGTTGCTTGCATAGTGATTTTTCCTTCTTGATTAATGCTGCTGCAGTCTTCATAACTGCAAAAATCAATTTACTGTCAGTTTGCAAAATGAGACCTCAAAAAATAATGCTTTAGGACACAATCAGCAGATACTGTATAGTGATATAAAACAATTTATTTGCTGATGTGGGTTGGATTTAGTTGAGATTTCACCTCTCTAGACACAGGAGGAAGGTAGAATGGTGACAAAAGATGACAAAGACAGCTTCGTGAGGAAGCTATGAGTATTTTGTGGCACAGTGCCTGTTTATATTCAGGTAGACTTCAGAAATAATTACATATCAGCACCGTGATGGGTTTCAGAAATAGACCCGAAGTTACTAATTTTTCCTCAATGATGGTGAATTTGAGTGCAAGTATAATTAACAGCTGAACTGTTTTAAAAGCTTAAGTGATACTGCTCTGTCATGGAACATATGTACACATTATCAAAATACATCCATGAAGCCATTCTAAAAGACTGATAACTGACTTTAATGAGCTCATTGGCATTGCGTGTAACAGCAACGAGAAAGTATTACATTGGGAAGAAAAGCTTTACTTATTTTTAAAAGGAGAAAAAGGCAAAAATAAACACTGAAGATTATACCAGAAGATGACTTTGTACTACTGTGAAATCTAGAAGCAGAAGCTGCAGAGGCAGGGGAGCGTGCTTCCAATGCAGTATAACTGGGTATAGGATATTGCAGGTTTAAGCCCTCCTTGTCATGACCTGTAATATCTGCAAAAATCATGCCCCTCAAATAATGTTCAGGTTTTGTCAAAAAAAAAAAAAATAAAAAAACCCAAACCAAACAGTAATTCGTGCAAACCAATGGAAAAAAAAACCCACAAAAAAATCAAACCAACCCCCCTCCCCACCCAAAAAAAACCAAAAAACCCGAACAACGAAACTCCACCACAACACATAAACTATTATTCACATTTGTTAGTGGCATAGTTAGTTTATGTTAACAACCTGAACCAAGATTAGTTGTGCTTCACTATGACAGGGCACTATCAGAGCTGTGATGCATGCACCAGTCCCATACAAGGAAACAAAAAGACTAAAATCTAAGTTGATCTGTGTGAGGCTAATGAATATCTTAAATAGTCCTACATATAAATCATGGCCATGATTTGGTTCTACCACTTGGCTTTGTATTAACTTTGTAAGTAGATTAGACTATCTTTTGGTATGAATGTAAAATGGACCTCACATAGGTACCCCTCGTATGCTCCTCCTTGGCACAGTACAAAAGCTATAAGAAAATAGGTCCTATATAGTCAATTGTTACACAAACAATAAACTATTCAGTACATCAGCTCTAGCAGATACTCAGCTTCTGTAAGGTTTTATAAAGATCAGCAGATTTTACAACTAAATAGCCACTGAAGATTCATGAAGAAAGTTTCTTTATATACACAACAAAAACTGAAGATAACTTTCATATCATTTAATACCAACAAGCAAAGCATTCATAAGCACCATGATTTGATTTTATGATACAATAGAAATATGTACTTATGTTTAAAACCCTTTCACTAAGTGCTGAATTATGGGTTTGGGAAACATCAAAATACACAGATATTTTCAAATGCATTTTTGTTGAAGCAGTACCCATAATAATCATATTCACTACCTTTGATTTTCTTTCTCTCTCTCAACTTCCTGATTTTTGGTTCATATTTCAATGATGCCTTTTGGGTCGGCATTAAACTTAAGTGATAATTAAAAGTTAATCAACTTTAACATTCAATTGCAAGTTTACTACCCTTCTGTTAACTGAACACATACCATCTTTGTTGATTCTAGCATTTTCAGAGAGTGAAGGATCACCACCAAGGTCTGAACTGGCAGCCGTTTCAAAATCTTCTATCATCTTCACTAGCTATAAATGAAACCCAAAAACTAAGTAATGATACTTTTTCCACAGTATTTGTGAGACTTGCACCTCAGACATTCATGCGAAGTTAGCTTTTAATACATTTTTTTCCTCAGAATCCTATACATAATTTAATGGAGTATCTTATTTTGGTTCAGGAATCAAAGTAGCTCAAGTAGGTTCAGTTCAACTAAAGATTTTAACCTGGATCCTTACTCCTTCTCTTCACCACTCTGAAAAACCCCAGCACTTTCAGCCTCTCTTCATAGGAGGGGTGCTCCAGCCCTCTGATCATATTCTTGGCCCTCCTCTGGACTTGCTCGAGCAGCTCTGTATCTCTCTTTTTTTGGGGGTCCCAGAGCTGAATGTAGTACTGAAGGTGGGGTCTCATTTTATGAAATAAACAGGAACAGGTTCCAGAAAGTTACATATACTGCAGAAGTACAACTGCAGAAATCTTTGCCAAAAAGATCTACTGCTCAGATTGAATTTTTGTGCTATTCCATTTTCCCAGTTGCAGAGAAACTAGGTATTCTACCTATTCACTGAGATAATCACAATCCCGACAGCATTTGGTCCATTGTATGTAACCATGTCAGCCAGCAGATACAGCACAATAGGTGAAAGAACTGTGTATTACTCTTGATTTCTCTCAACACATGCTAATCAGATGTAAACATACATGATTCCAAGATGCAGATTTTGCCTTTAGGTGAAATAAGTTACAAAATAAATTGTTTCAGACACAAGAGCTAGCAGTCAGAACTCACCTGTTCGGTATTTCTGAAATCCTCCTCCATATTTTCTGTAATGTTCTGTAATCTCTGTAATTGCATATCCATTTCTTGCTGCTTTGTGGAAAAGTATTCTTTACCAATTACTTTGGATGGAAGTCCTGGAGCAGGAGCTCTGTCATCTTCATGTAGTATGTTCCAGGTTACACTATCTGTTGCAGCAACTGGCTTATCTTCCTTCTGCACTTGGCTTGATAAATTTTTCAGATGATTGCCTTGGAAAAAAAAAAAAGAAAAAAAAAAAGAATGCACTGACATTTCTGAATGCTGATGCAAAAACTGCACCAAATTAACTTCACTGTTGGTGGAAACCTGCAAACATTTAAGTGACTAGGCATAGCTGTGCTACACCTAATAGCATGTTTTAGGAAGCCGGAACCATCAGAAAAGAATTTAAATGTGTAAATGTTTTTATACATAAGGCTAAAAAAGCAGAAGGTGAGCTGGAGAAAGGTTGCAGGCTTTCTGTGGGAGATAACGGTGTTACAATGAAAGTACATACCTCTTTTTTTCTGATTTAAAAATGAAATGGTTTACCTTTCTTCTGAAGCACCTGGGGTGGAATTGCATTAGTAACAGATACTATCATGTGATGAAGTTTTTTAGTAGATGGAATTTCAAGCTTATCATTTTGCTGTGCAGTAGCTGTCTCTTCTGCAGACTTGGGTATCACAGGCAAATTGTTAAGTATATCATTGTCTTCAATATCAATCACACTGATATATTCATGTTCACTCTAAAAAAGAAAAAGTTTATGAAGAATTATGTGGTATGTGTCTTGCATATATTAGCCACCTCCTGTGATTACTTCTTACCAGATTGAATTGAAAGACTTTTTTATTTTGCGGACAAAATAACTACAGTCTTCCTTACAGTATTATACAACTGATTCATCCAGATGAGTCAATTCATAAGGTAAGACAAACAGTACATTAAAAATTTGTTTCAATTATTATGTACATTGGACCACTAACCAAATCAGGTGCATCTGACAGAAAGGATGGCAAAGGTGTCTCATTCACTTCAGTGGGGAATCTCTGGTTTAAATACGCGTCTTGTACTGGTATCTCAGGGACACTAGACATTTCTATGAGAAAAGAGTAAGTCAGTGTTATATTTAGAGTAAAAGCCACAAAATTTCAGACAAACTATTAGGAAACAGGTCTGCATTCTAAATGGTGAGAAAAGCTTGGTAAGTATTTCTTTAAAAAAATAGACAATGCACCTTAATAGTCTTATTTAATGTTCACTTCTAACAATAAATTAATAAATTATTTGGTGACAAATTAGCAGAAAAATACTCAAAAGATTAAAACCACAGCAACACACTGTAGCCTAATTGTTTTTCTTTTCCAATTCCCTCATGAATATACTAAAAAGGTGTATTTTTATTTGATCCAAATAAATGATACTACTTGGCAAGAAACATCTCCAATGAACTATCTGCAAAGAAGTCATGTGATGTAGTAAAATGTTCTTCCAAATGGAACAACACTTGAATTCTAAAAGAAAGGAAAAGTTAATATGCTCACTTGGCTCTATAGGAAAAATACTTAGCTACTGAATTATGCGTAGTACAATTTATCAAAGATTTATAAAACGGGGGAGAACACCAAAACCCAAATAAATCTTTCTTAGCCCAAAATCAAACTTACCTTCTATTTTTTGTTCTACAAACTGACCCAAAAGATGACTGGTTGGGAATAAAATTCCTGTTTGAGACTGGAACATTGTTACCTGGCATATAGCTATTACACAACTTACCATATGCATGGAAAAACTGTTTAATTAGCTGAGCTACTACAGCTCTATTTTATGTGGAGCAGCGATCTGTCTCAACATCCCACTTATCAAGCCATTTGGACTACATAACACCACCTCCCCAAGATTAACCAGCGCTAAAACCAAGCTGAAATCCACAAATGTAATTGCTCATAAAGGAAAACAAAAGCACAGGTATAGTGCACCATGAAAAATTTCAGCCAAACTTTTCATACTCTGTATTGTAGTTATTTCACAGTTGGTTTTGAGAAGTAGATAAATTATCATACTCTTATCTATATCCTGCATTAAGCTATCTCATTATCAAAACCCGCATTAAAATAGCAGTATTTTTGCATAATTCCACAAAACTAAATGAAGTAGAGAAACACTGAAGCCACACCTGACACAGGAAGAGACATGACTGACTCATTGTTTTGAGATTCAGAAATTTCATTTCCAGCACTGACTCCAACATCCTGATACGATTTGAGCACTGGATAAGGGGGAAAAAACAAAAACAAACAAAAAAACAACCCATGAATTTAAGGAACGTAAAGACGCAGATGGCATTACTTGAATGGGCATTCCTAACTTCCTAGCTCACAACCAAAGTTGGGGGAAAGAGGCAGAGGAATAATTTCAGTGACATACTGTCTGAAATGCAAAGATAAAGTTCATCTAAGGTACAATGAGCTTTCAGAAGAAAGTCACAGCAGAATTGACTTTGAGAAAGCACGTGGAGACTCTTACATGACTGCACCAGTAATACATTTATTTATCATAATTTTAACATAAAATTGTGTGATTTATTTATCAGTATCTTTTGGTTTAATACTTTTTGAAACAAAAAGTTAGGAGCATGAAAAACTATTTTTCCCTTTAAAAACTTCACTTTGGAAACCAAGAAAATACTTCAATTAACAAGAAGCAATACCAGAAATAGTTGGTTGCTGCAGGCCACATGGGTAGCACTTACCAGGGTGAGTACTTGTACTTGCATCTTGAGTTTCTGCTGTTTTTTTTCCTGTAAAAGCCACGTAATGCAGATCCGCTGAAACAGTAATTGCTTCCCCCTTTGTGTCTAAAATGTGATAATATACAATAGGCATCTACAAATAATGCAAGTACTATAAACCTATAAAACCAGTGATACCGACTCAACACTAAGGGCTCCAACAGATTTTTCTTTACATTTCTGACAGATAGTTTTAACCTTTCCCTACGCATATTTCATGAATGATTTTAAGAAAAGTCTGTACTACCTGCTTTGTGTGAATATGCAGCTGTACTAAAACCTACAATGTTATGTTGAATTAATATTAAGGCTTAGTCTGGAGGTGTGATTTTTAAATTAGATATTTTAGTATGTTGGACAGTAACAATTTGGTTCATATTTTAAAAAGGGAGAAATATTTGACATTAATACCTTTCTTTCTTTATTGGTGTTTCTATAGAGAATTGCCAGCCAGTATTTCTTCTAATGCCAGACTTCAGAGAATGGCTTGCATTTTGTCCTCTGATGGGACTAAATATTGTGCTGAATTAATGCACTAAAAAGAAGCAAATCTTTCTATAGGCAGTATTTTTATTTTGCAAGCTAGAAATATTGTAAACATTCAGTTTCTTTCAAAAGAGCCTTATATTTTGTGTAAGTAGACAAAATGATAATAAAAAATATATATTTCAAAACCAAACAAATTATTTAGAATTTAAAATCATTATTTGCAGCATTCTTCTAATAAATCACATTAACATAAACCACATGACCTTAAGTCACTGTGAGCCAGTTACTGAAATTCACTCAGTATACTTGTTATTATTTGGGAAGTCTGTTGTTTATAAACATAAGTGCAAGATTGCCACTGTTTTTTAAAAGAACCTAACATACTTCTATAATGTTCATGAGAATTTTTCTGAACTTACAGATAACTGGTAGAAGATCTTAAATTTGCATGCATCTCTCTCCACACTAATAACTCAGAAACTTACTATCCCCCCAAAAAAAACTGAGTATCTGTTGTACATCCTGAAAGGTTTTGCTCATGTTCTGGGGAAGAACTCATAAGCCATCACACTGTACTGACCACCAACTGCACAACTTGAGTTTTTAACACCTTGATGACTGTGGAGTTTTCCTCTGAAATCTAACAAACTTCTGTTCCTTGACTTAGTTTAATTAACAACACAAAGCATTAAGAAGAATTGTACTTGCCTGTTGAAATGAAAAAAGCATCTTGAAGGTAAGAGGTAGATTTTGCTTCTTGATCCTAATATAAGAAGAAAAATAATTATCTTAAAAAATAGTTCCAATGCCAGTTAAAGACTTTCTTGATGCTGTTAACTTTCCAATATACCCCATTTGACTAAAGACTGGGGGAGGATCATTATAATGTACTTTTCTTAACCCCTTCTTTAATACTTCTTATCCATTCCAACTTAGTGGAATTACTGATAATGTAACATTCTTCCCCATATGTACCTTGGAGTCATCTGCAGTAACAAATTTATCTGCTGTACTATAATGAACATCTCCCACGTCTGATAAGGCTCTGAGAAATAGAGCCCAATGCTCCTGAGTACTGATCTAGGTTTTAATCCAGTAGTGTTCCAGCTTGAAACTCGATACTTGCAAGGTTAACCCCCAAATATGTGAAAAGATAGCAGAAAAGCCTAGGCAAACAGTAGAACTCCATAAATCAAAACCCAGCTTGATGAAGACCTTCTCAGTTTCTTGGCTGAGAGAAAACTGAGACCTCATGCTCCCCATACTCACTCTTGTACTGTCACAGTTTAGCACCATGTGAAAAGAGTAATATCTGGGTCATCTGCCCTAGCACTACTAGGCTAAGTATTTACTTATTTATTTATTTAAGCAATTAGTGTTTGTGTATACATTCATTTTAAACGTACATACACCCAAATATCCTACCAAAATAGCCATGTTCATGTCCCAGGCAAAACAAAACCAACCTTGGAATACTTCATAAAAACAAATCTCTTCTTTACAGGAAATGCAAGACATACAGTGTTTCTAGGCTAGAGCCTGAAGGAGATTTACACAATTGTTCTGGTTTACAGTTTCCTGCTTCTTTCTACTTAATACTTGAATGGAAAATAACTGTTTTTGTATACCTCAGTCCCTGATTCAACAGCCATCACTGAATCACTGATACTGATGATAGAGTCATCTGGGCAGAAGGACACAGTTTGTTTCTTCTTTTCCTCCTTCTCTTTCATTTGTATCTTATCACGCCTCTTTTGTCTGTCAACATATTAAATACAGATAAAAAGAACAGAACCGAAACAATAAAATTACCTATCATTTTCTAAAAAATATTACTGTTAAGAAATATATAATGAAATAAAAGATGGAAAAGACAAACATAACCGATTCAGAAACAGAGCCTACATCTTGATTTATACTGAAAAAGGATAACCCTTGTCAAAAATTACTACAGTGATGACACTCTGTGCAGATAGTAGCTTGTTAGGATTCACTGGGTAAACAGCAAAGCACTACATAAACAGTATATAGCAAACAGCCACAAACCACAGGTACCAGCATGTAAATCATTCCCCCTTGAAACTTCCTCCTATCAGCCTGGTAGCAGCAACAGCCCCTTCATACCCTAATGCTAAGCTTCTCCTGCTGAGTCTTTATTAATACTTACTATTTTTTTCTCCTCTACTTTATTTGAAGCTTCTGTAAAAACTCCCACTGATTTCAAATCTAGAACATATAGGTTACCAGTAAGTCTTTCAAAATAAAGACCCACTTTAAAAGTTAGCTTGCCTTTTTCTATTATTCTGCATTTTTAGTTCAAATGGTTCAACGTCAGTTTTTAGTAACTGGATGGGTTCACTTCGGTCGTGTCCAAAGGAAGTACTGGGCACAGTATCATGCTGGTGGCATTGCTCAAATGCAATGAGATCTTGAAGTGGAATGAGTTTTGGTGCCTGAAAGTATTCAGAGAGAAAGAAGCAAAATGAAACAATGCACAAAACAGGAGGGGGACGCCAGTCAGACTGGATGAAAATTTTGCATCTCAGTTATACAAACATCACTTCCATAGCTGTTTGAGAAAGTGAAAATGTAACATGAACGGCATCAGACCAGAATCTCAATGAATGTGTACGTGTGTAAACTGTATTCTGAAAGTAAGCAAACAAAAGGGTTGGACTAGATGACCTTCAAAGGTCCCTTTCAACCCAAACTATTCTATGATTCTACACTAATTTTCTTCACAGAACATATTTCACTAATATTTGCATACCTAATGTATGTAGTTGAGGATGACAGCAGGAACCATGTGATGTAGACAAGTACTGAAGGAGCACCCTTCAAGGAAAATTATTTCCACTCCTTTCAACTGGAATGCATATGTCTATTAGAACACTTCTCAAAACATCAAATTTTGAATCCAAAGGTAAGGTTTTCTTACTAATATTTTTAGCATTCCATTTCTGCCCTTAAGAAAAGAGAATTCCTTACTGCATTCTTTGCATTTCTGGAAATAATTCTACCTATATTTCTGCAACAATGGAACTGGGTTTTGTCATGTAAGTATTATGCCGTTTTTTAGAAAGTAAATTCCTATATTCATTACTAATTCAGGTGACTGCTGATGAATGATGGAATGTGAAACCAATCTAACATCATTAAAAATACTTCCAAGCTTGCACCATGCCTAATATTGACATGCCAATAAACAGGTACCTTAGTTACAGATCCCTTCTGGCAGCTGTGTCAAATGCTTCCAAATTCCACAGTCTGGAAACATTAACTTATTTTTGATGAACAGAAAACTATAAACACCCTACAGTTTAGAAAAACATATTATTAAATCCAGTACCTTCTTTTTTTGAGGTAAATTAGCATGGAGTAGTGATATTCCTGTGTGCTGTAGCGTTTCTCTGCAGTCAGTCTGCTTTGTTGCAAGTTTAAAAGGTAATAAAGTAGTAGGGATTGGCTGCCTTACAACTGGTAGAATTCTAGGTACTGGGTCAAGTTGCAAGTGCAACAGTGGAATACCAGCCAGGTTCTGATTGATCAGTGCTCTGCCCATATTCACATCTGCAGAGAATTGCTGCTGAGGTGAAACTTCTTGCTGTCCTTCAAACTGATCTACATTCAGATGTTTGGGAGGTGCCTTACGCACTGCTTCTGCCCATCTTTTCTCTTCCCCATATATCTGCCTTGGGATCTCAGGGTCATATCTATCCATATTGAAATCTTCTTTTGCCTTACTCCTTCTTGGTGTGATTGCCGACTGATGATTCCATAAGGAATCTGATGAACTCCAAGCTACTCGTGGTACTGGTGGTGGTCTGGCAAAAGCCTGTGACATTTCAATTGGACGTAAAAATGCTGGTTTGCAATAACCTGATGCAAGCTTAAGCAAAGGAAAACCATTCGAGTGATGCAGTTTTTTTTCAACAGGGAAAAACTTCGGTCTTTTCTGGATGTCTGTGGAAGGAGCTAGGAGATGAAGTGGTTTAGTAGGTGCTGAAGAATGAAAACCTTGAAATGGTGGCATAAATCCCATTTCTTTGCTGTGATTTTCTAACAGGCCTGGAGAAACATTCACATCCAGATGATTCTAAATCAGGAAAGTGAACAAAACAGCATTTACAAGTACCTTGATGTAGCAACCATGAACTAAATATGCACAAGAATTTTATACATCTTTTTGATCTCTAGCAATCGCTACAAAAATATTTCATAATTTAGCAGGACAGATAACATGTCAGACATACAAAACAGTCTTCATAAACAACACTTTGATATACCTACTTTCATATAGCCGTCGTTGCCTTCATCACTTGAACTATTCCTTAGTTGAAAATCGGAGCTCTTTTGACCAGGTTTTTCTTTATCTTCTTGAGCAGGCGCTTCTGTTTTCAGAGAGCCATTGCTTTCTTCAGTGTGTGCAGGTTGGCCTCCTTCCACATGAACAGATTGATGCTGTTGCAAAATTTGTTGTACATTTGGCAGGCTGGCAAAGGATGACTGCACTATTTGCATTAAACTCAGGAAGTTGATTTGTTGTAGCTGGATAAACACACACAAAGTTAACACTGTAAACAACAGGAATCTTAGCAAAAATTTTGTCTAGGCTATGTTATAACCTGTTCATCATCCTGTTAGTGTAGGTTACAAAATAAGAAACATCCTGAAGTTTTAATAATGATTCACTTATTTTACTGGACTTTCCTTTAAGACATTAAATACCTGCTAAAGTATGACAAATTCCTTCCCCTTTTTTGTAAAGTTTGAGTAGGTTCAAGGTCACATAAAACTGTCTCAAGGTACTAAAGAAAAATTAAATCTTAGTATAGCTGCAAAGTTATCACAGCTTCAGAAATCTCCTAATTAAAGCACACTGATTCTGTGAAATAAAAACCACTCAAATTTTTATTGTTATATTACTCATTTTCTCGAGTCAAAATTAACAGTTAAGTCTAAAATAAGTTCACAGTAGTTTATGTGGAACTCGTAAGTTCTGAAGAACTACTCACAGAATACCTTTAAACCAGTCATCATCTCCGTTGCTTTAAATAACATAGTTTGTATACTGTAAAAACTATTTTCAATAACAAGATTCTCTCACCTGCACTAACTTAAACATTTCGTCTTGAAGCATCTGCCTGACAGTTCCTGATGTGCTTAGTTTCTCTTCTGTAGGGACTTCTTCCTTGACTTCTTGCTTCTTTGCAAAAATGGAAGTAGCAGAGTAGCTTGACATAGTTGACACAACAGTCTGAGAAGGCTGATCATCACTTAAAGAAATATCTGTATTACTTAAGAAGGAAAAGAACAAAACTATGAAAAACATTCATAGGCAGAACACCTACATGAGGTTGCCTTAAATCGACCTGGAAAATTTTAAAGATACCTTAATTTTTCTAAAGCATAATTAGTCTCTAGGAATTATTTAGTAATTAACAGTTTTTGACAATTAACAAGTCAACAATCTTGACTGGACAGCACGTACAATATCTTTTTCCTAATACTTCCTGATATACTGAATGAAAAACAGTAGTAAAGATGTAAGTTCTGCCCAATATTTTAGTCACGAGGATATCTGAAATGTTATCTTCACTAGATATACAGGCTGGAAACAATGATATGACAGAAAGAGGACAAGTTAGTCAAAAAACCAAACAGCTAATGGAAAATGACATTATTAACTGGAATAAGAGAAACAGCATATTAACTTTTACTTAAATAATTGAATATGGCTTTATATATCTGGAATTGAAAATTGCTAATAAATTTTAAGATCAGAAAACAACTGAAGTAACTCGTACCAGACATTACAATATATTGGATTTTCTCAGAGATAATTAGATATTTCAGTAGGCAAAGACTATTAAGTAGGTAAGTCCTTAAGTGAAGAAGAGATTGTTAGCATTTACATTAAGTTAGAAAGAAGCTGAATGACTTTACCTACATCAACAGAAATTGACCCAAAAGACATTTCTCTATTTAAGAAAAATGCTAGCATTTCTATGTTACAGCCAACTTTTGGAGTATTTTTTGCAAGTGAACAGGATCCTTCCAATCATGTGAAGAAACATAAGCATAAAGCAGTGGCTAATGAGTAATACTGAAGGTTTTGGGTATGTAATGTGCGTGAACGGGCACAGGAAATCTTCTGGAAGACAGTTAGAATGTATAAATATGGCCCCAAAGCCTAAAACTTTGAGAATTTTACTTTTTTTCAAGCTGACATGAAAAACTTAAGAAGGAAACGAGATTAGAGACATGTAAATGGAATCCAGTATCATATAGTCCAGATCTTCCTCTAAATGGAAAGAGCTCATAGAAGACCATTCTAGAAGTGAAAGTCTGAGATTAACTCCTGATTCCTTCTCCCGATTCCAACATTCTCTGTTTATAGAAATATAATATGTATTTATGTGTATCTAGCAGTTACTGTAGGACATATATATTTTAATAATTCAACTAAAATATGAATAGGTCTATTATGCTATGTGTTTTACACAGCAATGTACCTTCTATACATATAATGATTCTGTCTGCAACTAGGAAGCAAAAGTATTCTCTCAAAATCTGGTACTTCTGAGTTAACCTGTTCGTTCATTTGATAGTCTGCACAAGAACTAAGAGTATATTATCCTCAATGATTACAGTACAAAAATGTTTCAGCAAATGCCACTTAATACTACCACTTGAAGGTATAATATACTATCTCTCCAAATACTTTGTAATGAAACCTATGTATCATGTTACTTTAGCCTGAAAATTTATATAAAATATTACAGTTTTATCTTACCTGGGATCTTCTGCATCTTCTTCTGAAGAAAACATGTGAGAAATGGTGCCAGTGACAACCTCAGTCATGCTACAAAGAACGAAAAAATGAGTAAATACTACAATAATTTGTTATGCTGTTTATTTTCATTTCATATACATTTATATACATATGGGAGTGTATATATATATATAAAACCTTCCAAAAAAGAATTTGCACGAGATAGAGTACCTGAAAGCTATATCAGAGCTATACTGATCTGCATTGCTTCAACTACCATGTTATACTGCAATTTGACCTAGCAAATATTGACATCTGTGCTTTATCTCCCTAGCAATAAGAAACCAACTCAAACAAAAGCACCGAAAAGGTTCTGTCTATTCAATACAAACATGAGGGGAAAAAAGAGGTTGATCTGAGTTGACAAAAGAGAAAAATCCAATTTAAGCAATGCTGTTAATATCATTACAATCTGCATTCCTAAAAAACAAAAGCCAGTATCTTAATAAATCCTTGGGTACTGTATGTGCAGTTATTTTTGTTTCTCTCGAAATAAAAAATACACCACTTTAAAACAGTACAGGACAGTAAGTCCTTCCATTTAAAATGTTTTCATAAACATTATGTATACACAGGAATTTTTATTTATGTGCCATCACAAGTATTCAGATTTTCTAAACATTAACACTCAGACACTGTATATCAGAGGAAAAGTTTTCACTACTACAAATTTAGAGGAATCAAGAAGAAAGCTAAATGAAAAGGTAAAAATAAGTTGATACTTTTCTGTCATTAAAACAAGTGAAAAAATTTCTAAAGACCAAGATTCTGCATGGTAAACATAACGAACTCCATGATTACAGAATACAAAGTTTCTTTCCCTTGAAAAACTTCAGAGAAATCATGTGAACAGTATTCTATTCAAAAGACGATTTGTCTAACAGGTTTATGGACGTTTCCCATAATTTTATACACCTATAAATGTAGATATATTTCAGAACAAAATTTTACATTTTTAAATTGTACAAAATACCTCCTTCCTCCTTTCAGGAGGTAACAAGTTTACTGCCCATATCGGTTTTTATCTCCCCTTCTGCTCCTAGACACCAATCTCTCTTTCTTCTGTATCATGTAATAAATTAACTATTAAATAGAGTAAGAGATCCCCATCTGTCTTTAGCCTGAAGATGCTGCCCCTGTTCCAGCTCTGGAGAATGAACTGTGTATCTGAAAGCTTTTCCAGTTATGCTCTATCGTTTCCCCATATATAACATACACATTCCCCAAATCATGCCTCTTTTATTTGATCACTATTAAATAACTGCTTATCCAGCCAGCATTTTGTATTGTGAAATCTGTATTTCAATATGTGAAATAGATGACTTCAGTTTTTGTGTTTGTTGAGTTTTGCCTAAAAATTTAAAGTAGTTTTGTTAAAGTTAAAAGAGAAACTGAAAAAAAAAATAAAAATTCTCTCACGCATTCTCTTCAGCCTTCCCTTCTGTTGTTTTTGCCACATTTTGATCTTCCTGGGAATTATCTACTTCTGAAAAGGAGATCTGCTGGAATATAAAAACATGCATATGGACTTGCAAATTTTTATATCAACCTTCTGCTTCAATGAAGTATTACTAGCCTAAGGCAGACACACTTTTGATTGATCAGCCACTCGAAAAAATATCACTGAAAAATAACCAAAATTACATACCTGTCAGAGCACAGCAACAGATCAGAAATAAAGAGACAGCCGAATGATCCATCTGGAAATCTTTCTTTCTAAGTCATTATGATTTTTCATTTTGAAATTCATATCCATAAAGTACCCTGGGAAAACACTCTGCTAATTTCACACCCCTTACAGATGAAAATGCAGAAAACCATATTTTTTTTTTTTATTTACCTGCTTTCTTATATGTGTGTGCATACATAACCTTATATATTTATTTATGGTGTTATACACTATACTGATTTAATGTAATTTACATGTAATTGCATGTACTGTGTATCTAGTCATATATGTAGTTTTACAAACAGTGAATTTGTTTCCAAAAGGATTCACAGCAGATCTCACTTTACTACTATTTAATTACTTGTGACTTTTATCAATGATTGAAGCAGGAAAAAAAAGAACCAATCCTAAATGCTTTAAGTTCTCAATTTCTTACTTGTATTTAGGAATTCAAGGTATTTCGAAAAGAGCATTCATAATAATCTGATACTCCATGCAAGAGACAGTAACTTGCCTTTCCTCTTTGGTGTTCTATAGGTTTGATTTTGACAGAGCTATTGGAGGTCTTTGGAGTTTCATATGGCTCATCAAAGAACTCTACAAAATAAACACAATTACTTTAAGTCAGAAAACCACATGACACAGCATTGTTACGTGATTTCTGTCAAGTGACCAAATGAGCCTACATTTTCCCTTCCCACAAAGAGAAAGGACTGAGCAATGTCTCAGAAAATTCAAAACTTCTGCTCTAACTAGTGATGATAAAGACACCTAAACGAAAAAAAAGAAAAAGCTTATTTTCACAGTAGGAATATGATAACCTATGCATACTCAGCTCTTAAAATTTTCAAATCGTATTTTACAGTTGCATTGCTACTTTTGACTGAAAAGAAAGAGTAACATACACTAATACGTATTGTCTTATCTCTACAGCAAACAGACGTTATAGTCTTGAGAAAGCAATTGTTTAAAATTTAGTTGTAAAATCTATATAATAATAATTTCAACAGAACAATAAAAACGTACTTCAATTTTTTGATTAAATAAACAAACTGACATATATTCCTATTCAGGCAAAACTCCTACTGTCTTAAACGTCAGAACACAGTAAAATGATCTACCATAAAAACAAACCTATATCTGACGCTATATCTTTCTTCCGAACAAATGCTCCCACTTCATTAGGATCTTCAGTCACATGAGGTACAGAATAATTCCCATGTTTAAGTTCCTTCTTATTAAAATATTCTGACTTTGCAGACATCCTGGTAATTTGAATTACGAAAGATAACAATAGAAATAATGTAAGTATCTTAGTTCAAGTATGCTGTTCAACTCAAACTGCAGGCTAATGCATAGTTGTAAAATAAACACTACTGTGAAATAATCAACATTCACCTAAATTTTCTGTCTGAATTTCACTTAAACCAAGACTAACACTATTTTTTGATTAATCTCCCTCACTGAAACTTCCTGTATTAAACAAATTAAAAAAATAATCTTGTGAGAGAAGATACACAATAACATCTTAGAATACTAATGTCTCTTCAGTGTAGCAGAAGAGAAATGCCACAAAGGACATTTCCATCATCAAACTGTGTCAGATATTAACAAAATATTTACTCTCTTTACATCTGTTTTTCTGCACGCATATGAGCATAGCTAGATTACAGATCCAGATTAAAATAAACTAACACTGTGAACTCTCTTTCTCAACATAAAGAAAATTAGTTACTAAAGAGTGACAGTTTTATGAATCCTTTGAGAAAACCATGGTATCCATTTTATCAGGAATTCATGTTCTGCTACCACATCACCAAGTTTACAAACAACCATGTACAATTCACTTCATATGCAACAGCCACATTGTTTTCTAGCTAGAGGTACATCTGCTGATGAATAATATTTAATATGCTTCATGCAGCTGTAAACAATATACATGAATTTAAATTTGCACTCAAAAATAAACATGTATATAACATGTATTAATAGTAGAACTCTTCATGCTGACATGCTGCTTAGCTGAGGAATTATGACCAATTATGACCAATTACAGTTCTCAGGTTAAACAAAGGTAAGTTACCCCAGACCAGTTTCACAAAGATCATCATAGGCTTGTATGTTCTGGACGTCAACAGAAGGATTGGTCAGTATGGAAGAGCTTTCATCCATACTACTTTCTTTCTCTGTCCTAGACTGTGCTTCTGATAGAGATGCAAATTCTTTTAGATTTTGATTATCCGGACTCTATTAATAATGACAAACAAAACTCGTTAAAAAGAAACCAAACCAACAACCAACCAACCAACTAAAAAAACCCTAATATTCTCAAAAAACTCAACGATTTCATACAGTATGTTTAACTTCACCCCTTTTCCCTATTATAGAGCTCAGAAATTCTGGATTTACAGTTGCTATGGAACCTAAGTGTCACCCCTTTTTGCCTTAACTGAAGGCATAGTCCTCTGACTTATCTGAAAGAAACATAAAATTAGAGAGATCCGTCATTGTCAACTGAGCATAAGTTGTCAAAGACACCGTGTGACAATATTCTCTATACAAAGATATATAATTAGATTTGGCCTTCATCACACTCAATACAAAACTCTAAGATCACTGAAGACAGTATAAATGGCAAAAAGCCATACATCACCATGCACTTAAGACACACACATAAAATTTTGGCCGTAAGTTCTAAGATTCAGGTGGCACTTCTCAGAAAACAGAAAATACACCCCCAAACCAAGACAAAAATCTCTTAATTGGGAGAAAAACCTCAAAAAAAAAAACAAACCACCCTTCACAACCCTCTCCCCTCAAAGCCTTTCATGCAAAGTTAATTAGAGGATCAATGATCTAGGTGTACCTGAATACAAAGCCATGCTCATCAGGTTCTTCTGCAGATCTTTTATATTAACACACATTCTCCAACTCTTTGCAATACTGCTAGACAGAAATTCAGAATTCACTTTTCACTAATCTAACTAGTTTAAGTACTCAAGTCAGAATGTATCTGCTGTGCCCTCAAAGATGAATGGATCTGAACTCAAGTAACCCCAGAGAAACTAATACTTTGTCTTGTTTTTCCACACTCCTATCTCCAGTACTAGGATTTTTCAAATATAATGCCTAAAACTAGACACAGAAGCTAAATTTCTAGGAATTTGGTCAAATAATGTGGTATCTAGATAAATGCGTTAGCTTTTGAACAGGACTTCCAAAGAGACTTTCATCTCCAAACAAAGTCTGCCAACATACAGTATTTCAGTATTCCTGGTCCTGGAATTTTTCCCTTTTCCTAGCAACGCTTAAAGGAAAGGCTATTAATCAATATTCCAGGTTTTACTGAGAACAGAACTATGCGGTAAAAGATGTGTGTGATCTTCTTTACTGTCATAAAGAACTCACCATTTCACTGACATACTTATCCTCTTTCTTACCTTAAGCTTTATGCTCTTTTTTTGAGATCCATCTCCATATAACTGTTCTAACAGCCACAAAGAAGTAAGGACAGCAGCTGCTGATGTTTTCACATGTATTATTGGGAGAACTTCTTGTAAGGAATCTTGTTTATTGGAACCGCAGAGCAGTCTTTTTTCAGACCATCTTATCATCCACTCAAGCAATTTTGCAATATTGCTCAACTTACCCATCAATTCTACAGGGAGTTGTTCCCCTGGTACAATATCAACCATACCAACAGTTTTGTAAACGTACTTGGAAGTTGCCCGAGTTTGCAGGCCTGAGAAAGTATGGTTAGGAAACGTCTGGCTTGCTGATGCAATAGTGACTTCTTGATTGTCACCCTGAGCTCTGTAAATGGACTTGTGTTTTAAACCAAATAATCCATCATTAAATCCTTTCATTAGGGTACACACAGAAGGTTCTGTTATCTGTAGAGTGGACCGTAAAATGGCTTGGTTTTCAAAATTATTTTGGTTTTCACTACAGACAGATGCTGTTTCAGGATCACAAGATGCCAGGGTGACAGTATAGCAGGAACCTGCTCTAAACACACTTTGGCTCCTAGTTTTGCTTTGTCGACATTTTAGTGTTGTATGAATATCAAAGAAGAGAGAGTTTAACTCATGCTCTCGAAGATGTCCAGAAAAGCTAGTAAGAAATGGAATTCCAAGGTCACTGTAGTTCACCAGGTCTCTCTCAAGAATGTAACTCAAGAAGAGTTCTAAAAAAATTACATATTCATCATCATCACGTTCAAATTCCCATGCACCAACCACAGGCATAATAGATTGATTATGCATATCTTCTCCACATACTTTGTCTTCAGGCTTTGTTTTCCAGTTAAAAGTTTTTATCTTGCATGTGGTATTTTTACTACCTATTTCACCTTGTCTCTGATGTTCATTATCCCTGTAAACAACAAACATAAGTCCCGTTAACACAAAAATCCATTGTTAGAAGAATTTCATGAAAAAAAAGGTAAATGCAACATTAGCTCCTTTACTTCCCACTGCTAAAAATGGGAACAACCCCAAATTTACATTAACACTTTATGTATTAATACATTAAGACAGTAACTCAGTAGTATCTATCATATATAAACGTCGTCAGAGCTGATAACATTACACTTCAAGAATGTATTAGTCACAGAGTAACTGATGTAACATTGGCATTTCTAAGATTTGATAAATTTTTAATTCTTTATTTGATAAATTACCCAATGTGACAATTATCCAGTTCAGTGAAAAGATTACTTAAACAGGAACAGACAACTTTTTTTCATTTGGTTTTTTTTTTAATTTAAATAGGAAGATCTCTGCTGCAGTTCTTTTCATACCTTTGTAGTGAAGGTGTTTGAGCTCTCATTCCTTCAGCAAGCAAAGCATCAGAAAGCGTATCTGCTGTGTCAGCATCACTATATACCTGAGGATTCCCAAGATCAGTAAGTGTGCTTCTGCTTAGACTAGTGCCTAATGAGAATCTGTCATAGCAGTGTTCATCATTTGCTGCTCCCTCGTCTGCCGGCTCCCAAATATTAATTTCTATAGGGCCTATGTTCTTTATTACATGTCTCAAGGCCTTCATTCTCACTTTTTCAGCACCTTGTATAACAAGAGACATTTCTTCACTTTCAGAACCTACCAAAAGAAAAAAAAAAATACTTTAAATGCAAACTTCCACATCTCAATAATTCTCTCAAGTTGAGAAGAATGAACTTCGAATTGTCATAGATTTATAGCCATTTAGAAATACAGACAGAAACTGATAAAGTGAAGAAACATCACCAAGTTGGAAGTCGTGATATGCTGCTATTGGCACAGACATATCAGGAAGAAAATGCAGAATTTGCCACAGAACTCTCTCAAAGTTGTCTAACTGAAAACTGTAATTGTTTTACATGGATGGTATTACAGAAGGTATTGTCACAAGTTGATTTAATACTTTGGGTGAAAAAAGGAAAGTTTGTTTAATATTTTGTGAAGAAGGATGCACACTACCTTTAATAATACTGTGTCTCAGTCGCTGCTGAAGTCCATGATATTTATCTCTTAGTGGAACTCTTACATCTTCAGGATTAGGAAATGCCTTTACAAAAATCTCTGCCACCTGCACAAAATAAAGTGTCTTTTAAAGTAGCAAAAATACAAATAAGGTGTCATTTCTAACAGAATGTATACCACTAGGAAGTCTAACTAGTAGATTTTACAAGGAAAATAAATATTTGTGATAATCTCCATTCTTTTGTTCTAGCTTTAATGTCTTTTACCTTTTTCACTGGTGGCAATTCTCCAAGCAGACTCAAAATTACATCCTGAATTAATTCTTCAGCATTCATGAATCTGCAGAAAGGAAGCATTCGACAAGCCCACTCCACTGCATTCAGACAATGCTCAATTCTGGAGGCATCATATTCATTCTTCTTCAGATCCTAAAAAAAAATACCTTGCTACAGAAACATTAACTGGTATGAACAATGTACTTCAGCTACAGTATTCATGCACTGCAAATAGTAATAATTCTTTCCTAGCCAACAGAAGATAAACATCTCTAGTTTAACTGCCAAATAGAGAAGTATGTGATGCTAGGAGACAGATCAAGGTTGCTTAAACCGTAACTTACGTATTAAAAAAAGAGCAAGCTTTTTTAAACCAGTTTAGGAAACAATCTTATTAACACTCTGCTACAGAACCTGTTTGCAATCATTTAGAATAAAACTTGAGAATTTAACTAACATACTGAAAGTAAATATTTGTACCGTGCTTTAAGATGATCATAAATTTGTTTTTAAGATGGAACAATTTATTTTGAAACAGTCAGTAGTTTCTATCTCATTTGTCACTGTCTTGGCACAGAAAAACAAGAATATCTACTAGTTAAAACAGAACCTTCCTGTTTCTATAAAGCTTGCTTTTTCTGGTTAAGAGAAGTGCTGAACTTGCCTTAAAAAGGAAGCAACCTTGGCTAAAGATAGCTGAGCTGCTAAGCCAGATTCTGTACTGTTACAGAATATATGACAAATACGCTAGCAGCTTTTTTCTTTTTCTTCCATGATCACCAACAACAACTGATGAGGTTATAAGTAGAGAAAACATGATTAAATTTTAACATTTTTATTATTCTTTTTAAAAAACGTGTATTTAACATACCAAATGAATATCTAATTAACATTTTTGGTGTGTTGAATACACATCCATCAGGTAACACCCAAATTATTTTAAGCTAATTAGAAAAAACAAAAAAAGTAAACTTAGGTAGACAACAAGTGTAGAAACTATTGCTCTTCTGATAATACATATTCAATTAGAATCATAGGGTCATGGAACAGTTAGGGTTGGAAAGGACCTTAAGATCATCTAGTTCCAAAACCCTACCATGGGCAGGGACACCTCACACTAAACCACGTCATAAAAGGCTTTCTCGAACCTGGCCCTGAACAGCGCCACGGGTGAAGCATTCACAATTTCCCCGGGCAACCCATTCCACTGCCTCACCACCCTCACAGTAAAGAACTTCCTTATACCCAGTCTAAACTTCCCCAGTTTTAAGTTTTAACCCGTTACCCCTTGTCCTTTTACTACAGTCCCTAATGAAGAATCCCTCCCCAGCATCCTTGTAAGCCCCCTTCAGGTACTGGAAGGCTGCTATGAGGTCTTCACTCAGCCTTCTCTTCTCCAGGCTGAACAGCCCCAACTTTCGCAGCCTATCTCCATATGGGAGATGCTCCAGTCTCCTGTTCATCCTAATGGCCCTCCTCTGGACTTGTTCCAACAGTTCCATGTCCTTTTTACATTGAGGACACCAGAACTACACACAATACTCCAAGTGAGGTTTCACGAGAGCAGAGTAGCAGAGCAGGATGACCTCCTTGGACCTGCTGGTCACACTCCTTTTCATGCAGCCCAGGATAGTTGGGTTTCTGGGCTGCGAGCACGCACTGCCGCCTCATGTTCAGTTGCTCATGAACCAACACCCCCATGTCCTTCTCTGCATGGCTGCTCTGAATCTCTTCTCCACCCAACCTGTAGCTATGCCTGGGATTGCTCTGACCCAGCTGTAAGACTTTGCACCTGGCATGGTTAAACTTCATAAGGTTGGCATCAACCCACCTTACAAGCATGTCGAGGTCCCTCTGGATGGCATTCCTTCCCTCCAGCATATCAACTGAACCACACAGCTTGGTGTCATCAGCAGACTTGCTGAGGGCGCACTCAAACCCACTGTCCATGTCACCGACAAAGACGTTGAACATGACCGGTCCCAACACCAATCCCTGAGGGACACAACTAGTTACTGGTCTCCAGCTGGACATTGAGCCATTGACCACAAGTCTTTGCGTGTGGCCATCCAGCCAGTTCTTTATACACCGAGTGGTCTACCTATCAAATTGATGTCTCTCCAATTTAGAGACAAAGATGTCGTGTAGGACAGTGTTGAACGCTTTGCACAAGTCCAGCCAGATGACGTCAGCTGCTCTACCACTGTCCGTCAGCTCCATAGCCCCATCACAGAAGGCCACCAAATTGGTCAGGCAGGATTTCCTCTTCATGAAGCCATGCTGGCTGTCACAAATCACCTTTTCTTTTTCATGTGCCTTAGCATGCCTTCCAGGAGAATCTGCTCCAGGATTTTGCCAGGCACAGAGGTGAGACTGACGGGTCTGTAGTTCTCTGGTCATCCATTTTCCACTTCTTGAAAATGGAGGTTATATTTCCATTTTTCCAGCCATCGGGCACTTCACCTGGCTGCCATGATTTGTCAAATATGATGGGCAGTGGCTTAGCTACTTCATTTGCCAGTTCCTTCAGGACCCACGGATGGATTTCATCAGGTCCCATGGACTTGTGTATGTTCAGGTTTTTAAGATGGTCTCGAACCAGATCCTCTCCTGCAGAGCACCTAAGGTCATCATTCTCACAGTCCCTGTTTCTACCTTCCAAGACTTGGGTGGTGTGCTCAGAGCATTTGCCAGTGAAGACGGAGGCAAAAAAGTCTTTAAGAATCTCAGCTTTCTCCAAATCCAGGGTAGCCAGTTCTCCTGATAGCTACTGGAGAGGGGCCACGTCCCTAGTCTGTTTTTTATTTGCTACGTACCTGTAGAATCTGTAGTTCTCTGGGTCATCCATTTTTCCCCCTCTAAAAATGGGGGTTATAATTCCTTATTTCCAGTTATCAGGAACTTGACCTGGCTGCCATGATTTGTCAAATATGATGGACAGTGGCTCAGTAACTTCATCTGCCTCAGCAACTTCAGAACCCTATGATGGATTTCATCAGGTTCCTTGGACTTGTGCATGTTCAGGTTCTTAAGATGGTCTTGAACCAGATCCTCTCCTACAGAGCACCTAGGGTCATCATTCTCACAGTCCCTGTGTCTACCTTCCAAGACTTGGGTCGTGTGCTCAGAGCATTTTCCAGTGAAGACCAAAGCAAAGAAGTCTTTAAGAACCTCAGCCTTCTCCAAATCCAGGGTAGCCAGTTCACCTGAAAGCTTCTACAGTAGGCCCATGTTGTCCCTTGTCTGTCTTTTATTTGCAATGTACCCAAAATCCCTTCTTGTTATCTTTCACATCCCTAGCCAAGTTTAATTCTAACTGGGCCTTAGCTTTCCTAACCTGGTCCCTAGCTTCCCGGACAACATCCCTGTATTCTTCCCAGGCTGCCTGTCCTTGCTTCCACCTTTTATAAGCCTCTTTTTTCCTTCAAAGTTTCCCCAGCAGCTCCTTATCCATCCAAGGAGGTCTGCTGGCCCTCCTGCTGCACTTCCTTCTAGTTGGGATGCAACACTCCTGAGCTTGCAGTAGGTGAACCTTGAATATCAACCAGCAGTCTTGTGCCCCCTTGCCCTCTAGGGCTATGTCCCATGGAACAGGTTCCTGAAGAGGCCAAAGTCTGCTCTCCTGAAGTCCAGGGTAGTGAGCTTGCTGCACACTCTTCTCACTGTCCTGAGGATCTCAAACTCAACCATCTCAGGATCACTACAACCAAGGCTGCCCTGGAGTGTCACATTTCCAACGAGCCCTACCCTGTTGGCGAGCACAAGGTCAAGCACGGCACCTCTCCTTGTTGGGTCCTCTATTACTTGCAGAAGGAAACTGTCTTCCACACAATTGAGGAATCTCCTGGACTGCGTGCCAGGCTGTACCATCCCTCCAACAGATATCAGGGTGGTTGATGTCCCCCATGAGAACAAGGGCCTGCGAGCGTGAGGTTGCTCCTATCTGTCTATAGACAGCTTCATTCACAGATTCCTCTTGATCATGCGGTCTGTAACAGATCCCCACAGTAATGTTTCCCATCACTGTTCTCCCTTTAACCCTGACTCACAAATGCTCTGTTGATTGCTCGCCTGTCCCCAGACTGAGTTCCATACTCTCCAGCCTATCACTGACATGAGTAGCAATTCTCCCTCCCTGCCTGCCAGGCCTGTCTTTTCTAAAGACCCTGTAACCTTCCCTTCCAACACTCCAGTCACAGGAGCCATCCCACCATGTTTCTGTGATGCCTATTATATCATATCCCCGTAGACGTGCACACATATCTAATTCCTCTTTTTTTGTTCCCCATGCTACGGGCGTTTGTATAGAGGCATCTGAGCCAAGCTCCAAATGAAGCCAGCTCATTGTCTGGAGCAGCTAGAATACCTTCACACTGCTCTGAGCATTTATTACTGGTGCTAGCAACTGACTGGGTGTGTTTGGATGGAATGATGCCCCCCTCCCCCAACACATCTAGTTTAAAGCTTCCTTGACCAGTCTGGCAAGCCTCCTAACAAAACTGGTCTGGTCTCAGATCAGCTCCACCAGCTTCCAGTAGACCTGGCCTCCTAAACTGAGTCCCATGTTCTAAATACTCAAACCCCTGACTATGGCACCACTGTTCCAACCATTTATTAACCTGCCAAAATGGCCCAGTCTTTTTAAGGTCCTGTTCTTTATCCTGGAGTACTGATGAAAAGGTTATCTGAGCTCCACTGCCCCATACCACCTCCTCCAGTGCTCTGTAGTCCTTATGTTCTCTGGGCTACTGCTATCTGTATCACTAGCACCCACATGGATCATCAGAAGTAACTAGTCAGTATGACATATTAGACCAGACAGCCTCTCTTCAACACCCCTGATCCGTGCCCCTGGTAGGCAACACACCTCCCTTGAGACTGGGTCAGGCCAACAGATGGGTGCCTCTGTGCCCTTCAAAGTAGAGTCACCTACCACTATGACCTGCCGCTTTTTTCTGGGAGCATCAGTAGTGATCTTCTTTACAGATGCATCAGCTGGTTGTTCATGTTGCGTGTTTCCTCATTAGCCCCGTGCAGAACTGCAAAGCGGTTCTGGGTGGGGGCAACAGATTTAGCAGGAAGCCCCTTGCTTTTAATTGTCCTCTTCCTCCTTTTTTTGTTGATTAATTATTTGAAATAAATACCAAGCAAAAGCACAAAAGATGTACTATTAGGAAGTAGTAGCTCACATGGACAACACTGTTCTGTAGCATCAACTACTGCCCGTTGCAGCACTAATATTGTCCTACTATGCTAATAACAGTTCTCACAGAAATATACAGCAGACCTTTAAAATTCTTCTTATAGCTTTATGCAATTAAAACTGTATCTTTAATATACTAGCAATGTAATTACCTTGTGATTGTAAATATTTTCCCTTGCAGTTTGGTACCGCCTACAGTTGTCAGATAATCTTTCACGAACATGAAACATCCAGCACAATGCACACAGCTCTCTGAACCAACCTACAACACAAACATGCAATGTGGTGAGATTCTATTTAAATGAACTAAATAAAACAGCTTGAGATTTTTAGCTAGAAGTAACTGACATTAACGTAAGTTCAAGAAAAAAATTACTCACTCTTGAGTTTTTAATAATGCTCTCCAGCTAGAGTTTTTTAGTTCCACTTAGTGTTCATGTTCCTTCACATCTGTCAGATCCCTAACACACACAACAATCCTTAACAGCAACTTTAAGATTAGAAGTTTTGATAACTAACATAAAACCTGGAAATAGAACATGTTTCTGTACACATGGCAGTACTCTCAGGGGAGTGTACTCTCAAAAAACTCAAAGAGTTTTTTGCATCCGTAAATTCTCATTCTTGTGCGCTTTTTTTTCAGTTCTAAATTATTCTGTTTTGTTGTATACAGACCTAAAATTTTGCATGTAGTATCATCAAACTGATGGTCTCCAGAAGTTGTAGTTCTATAGAAAACAGTGTGGAAATTGCAGTAACGAAGCAAAGTCTCTGGGAATGGACTCAGTGAATGAAGAGATCCTTTCGTTCGAATCTACACATATCAAAAAAAATAAATAAATAATCAAAACTGAAATAAAGATCAGTTAAGATTTTGTGTATCACTATTAAGCATGCAGCCTTTCAGTTATTAGCAGAATACTGCCAAGATCAGTAAAATTCCCTCATGCTTGCTTTCAATTTTCTTCCAATCAGTATTCTGAAAACTCATCTTAAGGAAATATATTTAGTATGAGCTATGGCACAAGTACTTCTGTTTGCACAGTACTCATGATACTCATGATTACTATGGAATACAAGAGCAACAAAATGTAAGAGTAACTGAGATCATGATTAGGAAAACAAGTTTAATCCAACACAGCCCAAGCTGCTGTCAACCAAGGCAGACTAGTTTTCCCTCTTGTTTCAGCTGGTACTTCTGATCACCTCTCTGTGCCAACATTAAGCATGTAATCATCCAATGAGCAAACAGAAGGAAATACTTGTCAGTCAGGCCAGTTCCTGATCTGTATCACTACATGAACACTGGTGCAGGGGAGCTGAGGGAAGGCAGTCACACACACCCCCTTCTGTAGGAAGCCAACATTCTTTTAAGTAGCTGTGTAACAATGACCTAAGAAAAGCCAGAGTTTACATAAAATTTAAATTTTAATCAGTATATCCAAGTATGGTTCTGTGCAAACAAAACGCATGAGTAGAACGAGACCTTACAATCCCATGCTCTGTGCACAAGGATTGACCACGTGACCTGCTGAAGTGAGTATCACCTTCTCTGTTACATATTCCACACTAAGTGAACTCTGGTTTCCTGAAAGAACTTAACAGGAACTGTAACACTAGAAGACTACATGTAAAAAACCATAATATCAAAGTCCGGATGGGACTCAATGCTTCTCCAATGCAATTGGAAGCTTGTCAGTAACATTTCTGACTGGTAATCAAGTTATAAAAACCAAGTTAAATGCTTACTTTTTGCATAACTTTTCTTGCCCACTGCAGTTTTGTGATATACCACTGTGCTGCAGGGCAGGAACAATGAGCAGCCCGGAAGAGCAAGATTATTCGCTGAAGAATTCCTGACACTTTCTGACGACTTTCTCTCTCAATTTTTAGAAGAATGTCATTGCCGTCCTCCTGAAAAATACGAATTCCAAGACAAAAACAAGACCCAAAATCAGAAAGGACATACACAGTAAGAACCTAACCCAAAGGCTCTGTCTGCTCCAAGAGTATTTCCATTTAGATCCTTTATGGAAAAAACACAGAGTCACTCCAGTTCTGGTTAAGTAAATGAATACCCATGGAAAAAGCAGATGAAAAATGAGCTAAAAGGAACTAGAATAAAGATCACAATTATTTCATAAATACATTTAGAACCCTGGAAGACCCAAGAAACTTCCATCATGCATGCTTACTTCACTGAGAGAAGCTGGCTGAGGACAGTACAGTGGTGGTGCTGGAAGATAAAGCCCATCTGGAACTAAACCATACAATTTTCTGCTAAGTTCCTTGGCAGAATCCATCAAAAGCTGAAATGTCTCTGAGAGAATATCAGTATCTGCCATAGCAGCTGCTTTAAGTAGTTCCTGTATGGAACTATAAAGAACACCTGCATCTTCCTCTTCAAGGGGATCTGTAAAATATTAAGCACAGAAAACACTAAGTCAATTGTCTCAATACATGGTTTTCATTCTGAAATTACAAAGCTACATTTTCAGAATTCGCATTCACATCTTACAACGTGTACAACACCTCTATTTGCTTTAGGATAAGATCTCTTATGTTTCAAAACAGTATTATTAATTTTTGCTTCTGCCATGTTAAGGGGAAAGATACTGCCTTTCTAGGTAGCAAATCTAACTTTCCAGCCATGTATCTGCTTGGCATAAAATTCTGGCAAATCTTTCTCGCCAAGCAGGCATAAACTGGGAATACTATTTATAATTATTAATAAAACCAACACTTTTTATCAGTAAGCATGATTATCAGGGAAAGGCCAATGTATTTGTTTGATCTCTTTTACATATTATTAAATTTTTTCCTCATCTCCTAGAAATAGGAGAATGCTGAAATTATTCATTAATTGGACCCTGAAATTCACATAATTCTATACTGTTCTACTTTCATTTCCATTCCTTCTGCTTGTTATAAAATATGTGCTACTAAATCTTTTCATTACCTATCATATTTAAAGAGTATTATATATAACATGGATGTATGTGTTTCTGTTTGAAATAAAAACTTTGGAAATTGGCACAAAAGAAGAGTTTAAGCCATATCCGAAACACTGCAAAGATTGATTAACATCCACCTCCTGACAGCAACTTGGAATGTGGTTTTTCCAAACATGCACACACAAAAAAGGGTAAGGAATAGAGATCATGCCAGTATGATTTCTGTAAAATGTAAACAAGGACAGGTTGATCTAGCTAGCTGATGGAATTACAGCTGTAAGGTATTAAGTTAGGTTATATGATAAAAAGATTATATACACACATACAAAGGAGCAGAAGACAATAGCAGGAACCTGAATAACACCTAGACCCACCCACTCACAGTAGAAAAATCAGCTTATAAAAGGCTCATCTCCACAAGCCCAGAGATGTACAACAGCAAATTAAGTACTCGGACAAATGGACACCCTGTCCAAGATCTTCCCAGGAAAGACATCATCCCCTGTGTCCAGGTATGAAACCCATCAAGAAGAGACAATGGGAATGTCTCCCTTCAGGACTTTTTGTCTTGAGGGGATTCACTGTCAAGAAGGGTACGACATGCAGAGAATGCAGGGTAAGAGTTTTCTGGGATTGTAAAAGGCTCATTATGGGATCTTTAAGATAGAAACCAAAGATATGGTATGGAGCTGTGGCAGCCTCACTTTCTTCCACCAGCCCCTGTTAGCATATGTCTGTTTTCTTGGGTGAAGGGTTTTCTATTCTGTGTGTCCATGTGGAGGACTTTTAAGTGCCAGCAACTGGAGTGAGACCATAGATCAAAAACCCTGTGTATCTGGGATCTGCAGACTGGAGTTAGGTAAAATCAAATGCCTGCAAGTGGAGTGGGACCGCAGGTCAGAGTACCCACATATCCATAGCACCAGCAACCAAAGAAAGTGAGGCTATGTTAAGTGACTGCACGAGTGCTATCAAGTATCAATTCAGACCAAGTGAAGTGCCCTAGGACCTAGGGGTGTGTGCATCTCGCTCATGCAAGACAGACCATAGGAGCTGGCAGTGAATAGAGGGACCAGTGAAGACCTGGCCAACTGCCAGAGATGATGGGGAGCTCAGCTTGTGTGACTATATGTCCCCAAGGGCAAGAAAAGGGAATCTGGATACTAGAGGGACCAAGTAGGTTGTGAACACATGCCAGAAAGACAGTATGCACATAGGTATGTGTGTCTGCAAGAGCGAGGCACGTGGAAAGACTGAGGACTACAGACCCAGCTACTAGGTGGACTGTATATTCAAGGCCATCTACTGTGCGGGTGAGTAGACAGTATGTGCGTGTGGAGAGGAAGGTATTTGTGAAAAGGTCTGTACCAGGAAATGCAGTGGGGGTGGGGCATACGTGCAGACACCAGCAACTTGGGAGACTCAGCCACCAGTTCTAAGCCTAGCTACTGGACAGATCCACATTGTACATTTAGATATCTATATACAGACCTTCATTCTGACTAGCAAGAGAGGGAAATGGGATGGGATTTTTGGTGCTGTTTGTGTAAGTGTTGAACATGTCTGCAGGTGCTGATCTGTGTAGCTACCTGTATACAGGTACAGCATATTATGTCTGTGTGTGTGCCTACTGGGAATACATTCTGGGTTTTGCTGCCTGTTGGACCTGCATGAATGGAGCTGTCAGGCTATGAGAAAAAATTTAACAGAAAAGAAAGGAAAAAATTAAACACCATCATGTAATAAATTTTAAGTATAATGATACTTTCCATACTGTTTATATGCTTACATTTGCTTCAGGGCATTTTTTTGTTTCGTTTTAATGAAACTTTGGTTTTCTTCCAAACTGAAGATAATACTAAGACCAGTCAAATAAGGTTTTGGGTGATATGCACAAAGAAGGTAAGATTGATAATACAGTCCATTTTTTGAATTATGAAAGCCAAAACCATAATGCCTATAAAACTGAAGTATTTTAATACATTGTAACAGTAAGACACACACTGGAAAAGACAAGGTAATTATTTCTTTTTAAGACAGTGTATAACACAGTATATGCAGTGAAATAACATGAAAAATAAACACACCTATTTATACTTTTATGTACCTGTAAACTGCTCATATTTAAGACATCCTGATGTTTCAGAAGTAAGTGGCTGTCCTAACAAATACTGTAACTTTTCCTGAAAAGTCTGTATTGGTGATAAGCTTAATGGCAGGTGACACTCTCTGTTTTTCAGTCTGAAAGTATAAAAAAACCTCATTAATAACAAAGATAAACCCATAGATAATCTAATGAAGGTCTGTTGAATCAGATAAATCTAAGATAAAATAACTAATCTTAACATGCTAGATCCTACTTGAGTCTGGGAATATGAACTTTTGATGCAAAGGATATGCCTTGTTACAATAAACTTCATCAAATAACATAGATAAAAAGATACAGTGTACTAAATCCGAAGCACAAATTTACCTTGAGAATTCATCAGAGTTCTGACAATACAGCTGGTAGGCCATTCCAATTGAAACAGAGAGTTTCCAGTCCCCAAGTCTGTGTGTTAACCACACAGCCTCTGGAATAAGTCCACCAATAAAGAACAAATCAAGAGCATATTCAGCTGTCCACACAGATGAAAGTTTCTGTTCCCTGACAGCTCTGGTAACCAAACAGTGTTGCAGTGGAATAATACGAGGAGATATGTCTGTGACAAAAAAACACCACATTTTAAAGATTAAATACATGTGCATGCTATCAGATGAACTATCTAGAATTCATATGTTCACACTGCTTTTGGAGTTGCTGCAGTGCACATCTGCTCTTTATTAGAGGCACACACTAAAGGGTTTATCTGCAGCAGGGAGATGCAGCTCTGCTATACAACAGTGAGGTCAAAGTAGGCTGCTTAATAACGTGGGATATTCAAACAGGTGCAAAACCCGTGGGTTATTTCTTACTTTAAAGATTTAATCACACTGATGGAACATTTGCAAGTATGCTACCACATGCTCAGGATATTTCAGACAGTACACTTGACATAAATGCCAATGCTGAGTTTTCCAAGCGCTGCTTACTGCAGAAGACAAAAAGTTACAATACATTTTTAAGAAAGAATAGTACATGATTTTAAGAGAGTGTGTCAAGACGAACTCAAGACAAATTTAGTATCTCCTTGTTTCTTGAGGTTTAGATTTGTTTTCTAAGGCTTTACGTTCTGGGTTTCCTGGAGAGGTGCTGACCAACATTAACTCTAAGGAGTTACTTGCTTCTCTTACAGTTTCTGTTTACTGTTCATGCACTGACAATTTTATTCACACTAACTGAACTTAAGCAACACAATTTTTCTAAGACTGTCTCACCATGTACATGGATCTTTGACAAATGCAAGTATTAGAATCAAGGTCACATTTTCTATGTTTTATCTGGAAAACTGTCTGATTAAAACATCTAAAAGACCATGAAGACATACATACTAGTGCATGCTGTAGTACAGAAATGTTATAAATAGTTCATGTATTCAAATGCATGAATACTGCAGAAAATCTAATCAATCAAAATAAGTTAATACAGTAGAGAAATAGCTGGCATTAGACTACTAGAGTACTTACAATACTTCCAACTAACTCTTCATTCCTGTGGACATTAAATTACTTTGAAAATTAACTCTGAAACTAAAAATTTCCTAAAAAGGGAAGTCTTTAAAACAGAATCTCTTGCAGAAAACAGATACACTACCCACTGTGATGAATACTAATTCTCAAAAAAATGCTGAAAAACAGGACCTAAAAGCAACACATAGTACTTGGGTTCAACAAGAAACTAAGTTGACATTCCCACGTGGTCTGATGATATGGTGTCTGAAGCATTCTGGCTTCCAAAAACCACTTTCCTCTGGCTCTTCAGTTTGCGTCACACTGTATCATGAATCCAATTCAACTATTCGTAAAGCACTGCTTTTCTCTCACTTTTGGATCAGTCAGTCAGAGCCACAACTTCAGGCAAAAGTAGTGCATGAACCACAAATTCTAATGTTAATTTAGGCAAAAAACCTAAATTATCCTTTTACCTGAATATCAAATCCAGATCACTAACCTCAAAGCGTTAGGAAAAAAACAAACAAACAAAAAGAATGAAAAAGAACAACAAACTCATGAACTCTAAGAAAAAAAAAACGTAAGTCTATATATTGAGAGGCAGCTCTGAAGGACAAAAGTCTCCAGGAAGATTGAATATTCTTAAAGATGAAGGCGCAGGCCATCACATATGCTGAAAGATGAGCCAACAGGGGAGAAAACCAGCCTGTCTGGACAGAGAGCTCTGACTGGAACTCAGTAAAAAAAAGAGTTGATGACCTTTGGAAAAAGGGGCAGCAAACTCTGGAGGACTACAGGGATGTCATGAGGTTATGCATGGAGAAAATCAGAAGGGCCAAAGCCCAACCAGAACTTACTCTGGCTACTGCTGTAAAAAGCAATAAAAAATGTCTATATAAATAAGGAGCACAAAGGACAATCTCCATCCTTTCTTCTGCAGTGGAGAACAGTGACAAACACTGAAGTACTTGAAGCCTTCTTTGACTCAGTCTTTAATAGTAAGACCAATTGTTCTCAGCATACCCAGACACCTGAGCTAGGAGACAGGGATGGGGACCAGAATTAAGGCCCCATAATTCAAAAGAAAAAGGCTAGCCAGCTGCTCCACCACTTTGGCACACAAAAGTCTCCGGAGATGGACTGGATCCACAATGGATACTGAGAGAGCTGGTGTAATGTTCACTGAGCCACTTTCCAACACATATCTACAGTCCTGGCTAACTGCAGAGGTCCCAGTTGATTGGTGGTTACCAAATGTGACACCCATCTACAAAGAAGGGGTGGAAGGAGGATCCAGGGAATTATAGGTTTGTTACTCTCACCTTGGTGCCAGGAAAGGTTATGGAGCATGTCTGGAGTGCGATCACATGGCATGTACAAGACAAGCAGGTGATCTGGCTTAGGCAGCATGGCTTTATAAAAGGCATGTCCTGCTTGACTAACTGCATCACCTTCTATGACAAGGTGAACCATTTACTGGATGAGAGAAAGGCTGTGGATGTTGTGTACCCAGACCTCAGTAAAGCCTCTGACAGCGTTTCTCACAGCATTTTCTTGGAGAAATTGGCTGCTCATGGCTTGGATGGGTGTATGGTTCAGTGGGTAAAAAAAAAAAGCTGGACAGCTGAGCCCAGAGAGTGGTGGTAAATGAAGCTGGTGGCTGGTCACAACTGATGTTCCCCAGGGCTCAGTACTGGGGCCAGTTCTGTTTACTGTCATTAATGATCTGAACAAGGTTTAGTGGTGGACTTGTCAGTGCTAGGTTAACACTCGGACTTCATGTTCTTAAAAGTTTTTCCAACCTAAATGATTCTATTATTCCATTCTATGGATGACATAATAGTTTGATGTGTGTAACCAAAAATATTTTCAATAATGAGGAGCTGCAAAACATTAATACCATACAGAGGCACACACACTCCTCACCAAAAATTTACAATGAATGGTGGTGAAATAAATCACCAAGTTAAAACATAACAGACAGCACTGATATACATGAAAAGAAAAAAAAAAAAAAGGGTTAAGCACAGCAAGTCAAACTCTTTTAGAGAAAATACCTTGCTTGATGTGAAGCGGACGCAGGATGTCTACATTGTGTGGGGGAAAGATATAGAGCAGCTGATTTGTAAAATAAGCAGCCATGAATCGTGCCATGGACCGAATCACAGCCATAGCAGTTTCAGTATGAACATCTGTTATAGTCCATAGTTCATGCTGAAAATACTTGGTATCTAAAAAAAAACAGACATCAGATTAAAACATTATGGAAAATATTTTAATTTTGAATGCTTCTTGACAAGCTTTCAGGACTTAAAAAAGCTAATTACACGTTATGATTAATATTATAAGACTTCTATACTATGTTGTTAATGACGAGAGCTGGCCTTCTAGTACCTAAATTTAGATCAGTGCTGAGTCAAAAATCTTTAGATTTTGAAATATAGGTATCATACTCTGACTCAGCAGAGAAAAGAAAATATACAAGCACCTGCAAAAGAAAACGAAACACATCAACCGTCAATTCAGGACTGGTGACCAATCTATCACGTTTTATCGTAAGAAAAATGTTAAATCAATATAAAATGAAATCAGACTATTTAATCCTTATTTTTCTTATCCAAAGTCTTTCCTTGAGCACATTTAAATCTAAGATCATTTAATGGGCCATGATTTCACTGTTAGTTACACAATTAAAAGTTGTCTAAACACTATAAGGGCAGCTGACAGAATATCTGAGAATCAGAAAAAGATCTTTAAAGTCACTGAAAACAGACTTCATTCCAGTATAAAGAGAAAAGTGTGCTGCCAAACATGGCTATGATGGCACAGAAACTAGATACTAGATCATTCAAACATTATCAACATACCTTATCACACTTTTATGCAATATAAACATACCAGAAAATTTTTCCATCTGACCCACTGTCAGCTGTGATCGCCTCAGAATCTCTCCTACCAGATGATCACAGAGTCCCTGAGCCTCACACAGGTTATACTGGTACAGGTGGCAAAATAATATTGCAAGATAATATCTACTCTGAAGAAAACATATTCCTTTTCCCCCTGCATTAAAACAGAAAAAAAAAAAAAAAAAACATGAAGACAGACACAGCAGGTTTGAAAATACAACTTCCTCCCTCTCCAGAAACAAATCTATGTAAATATATACTCTGAGAAATAGCAATGAGCACCAGCTACTTTCAGAGACAGGATCCTTCTACAGTCTCTAAGTTACTAGCGAGTTAATGCTCATCCGCAAGTTTTGCTTCTGGATATTTGGCAGTTTTCAAACAATACAGGTTATAATTGTTCCAGGTGAGCTTGAGAGCCTAATCTCCAAAGAAGGAATGCCTAAACCACAATGAAATTGCTTAAACATCCACCATGCTTCCAGTATCCTAAATTCTGCATGAGTTACTCCTTCTTCATTATACTAACCAGCAAAAAGCATTTCTCATGATGTATGGGAATACACTCTGGAATATCTGTTTCAAATCCCCTCCTAAATCAACTCCTGCTATAAATTATCTTGTTTCTCCCTGAACACTAAAGACCAACTTTTTTACAGCTCCTAAGGGAGTTGATTTTTGTCATCTGCTTTTCATTGTCTCCTTCTTGCTCAGAGGTATATTTAGAGATTTTCTGTACCACATACTTCATAATCGTAAGAAAACAGAAATGCACGGAATTTTACCAGGGAACAATCAGGCCTATGTTTTGTCTTGTCTATATTTAAATCCCAGCTTAATTTCATACATATGCATCATTTATGTGTCTTGTCCCCTTTTTTTTGAAGGGCAGAGACCCATAAATAACTATATAAAGTGATTCTACAACTTAACACCTCCAGGGCCAAAAAAGAATGTATCCCTTACCTTTACCCTTGATTTCACAAAGAGATCTTTTCCAAATGTCCAGAGATTCTCTGTATGAGCCTAAAAGGAACTTCTCCTCACCTACAAAGTCACATATATAACAAAAGTGCTACACAGTTAGTTTTACATGTACAAACACACATGCATTTACCTCAGTATCACAGATTTATGAAAAGCACAATGAAATATGTGAGTCTCCAGCAAATTTCTGTTGTCAGAGCTAAGTCTGTGTTGAACATCTGAATGAAGCTGACTTTCAATGCCCCTCCCCTGCCTATCATTTAATTGCTAAATCACTATGGGAAAAAAAAAAAAAAGATGTTATAATCACTCCTACATGGCTTTCAGTAATTAAGTTTGTTTGTTTAGATTAAACAAGGTTATAAACATTAACTATACTTACAAACTTCGGCATTCAACACCTGCAATAGTTTATAATAGTTTATATGGAAAATCTTATGCTTTCATTTTCCCTATGATATGGAAGATATTTTTTCATTATAAAAAGTAGTTATAAAATTATTTAGCAAGTTGAATACATGCACTCTTTTTCAGCGTAGAAGCACTTTCGAACAACAGATCTGAGGACTGTTAACAATTAGAGAAATGAAACGTGTATCTCTCCACTTCTATACTTATTCTGATTTTTAATACATTGGTCAATTCCTGAATACTTTGACAGAAAGGTAACTGTAAAAGAGTAAAGGGGAAAAAAGAAATACCCAACCCGACAACCAAACCAAACCAGACAGCACTACTGCAGAAGAAAAGCCAAGGACAAATTTCCCACTCTATCCTGCTTATTAGCAGCTAGCCAGTGGAGGTACTGACTGGCCCATCAGCGTGTCTGTTACTCTAGCTCATCCATAAACCATACTGTACCTATTTGGCAAACAATGTAAACAAAGAACAGAACAAATGGATAGAAAGCTCCGTGTATTGTTAGGATGAATGAAAGAGACACAAATCAGCTAATGTATGGAGTGACATAGAAAGAGAAGATAAAAATAACGTTTAATAGAGAGAGAGAGAGAGAGAGAGATCAAGAATATGGAGAAGAAACAATTTCTGTGGGAGACATGAATAGGAAGCTAGGCTTATTAGGGTCGAAGGGGAAAGCAAGACAGAGCATAGGACAGTTAAGTGTAGGAAATTAGGCTACAACCATACACCATCTGCAAAATAAAGATACTGGATTAAGTCTAGTACATTGTTATGCTAAATTAGATGCTTAGTTGAGACTGACTACATTTACATACACGACATGCTCATGCCAGTGGTGATCACACAACGTGAACAGGGCTTCTGCACAGAAATTCAGTAAGAGACACACTGTACTGCCCATCTACTTCAGAGGAAATAACACAGTGCAAGAGATCAGAATTCAGATCCTGTGTTCAGATTCTCTAGGACATTATTCAAAGCAAACTAAAGTCACTACAGTCTTCTTACTCTGCTCAAGATTATGATACAATCCACAGATGTATTAGGACATGAAGTACAGAGAGAGAGTTTCAATCAGAATGTTAAGAAAAGTCCTACTCATAACTTTTCTTAAATCTGGTGGTTGTTGACTGTCCTTAAGTTTGACCTAATTTTCCTATTATTCAGTTACCCATGCAACTACCTAATACCTGTAGTTCTTTCCAAAGTACTAACCAGGTACAGAATTAATCTTCAGATGTTGTTCTAAGGTCACGCCTGAAGACTGGAGGGTGGCTTGTATATGACATAAAAGCAATGAGGCAACAGACTCTTCTTCTACATTCTTGTTTACTTTTGTCTTCAGCTGCACCTGATACCAAACCACTTTCTTATACAATAATTGCCATAGAACAATCAACCTGTAGTTAAGAAAATCATCAAAAATTAACAGTTACTTACAAATTTTTTTTTATTTTCTTATGTTCTTCATTATGTATCTCAAAACTAGATTTTATTTTATGCTAGCAACAACTTTCTTGATTTCAATGAGGGGGAAAAAAACTAAACACTTTCTGCCTCAGTTTCTGTATTTTGACCAACAAACATTGATTCTCCTGAAGCTGCATAAAAGCAGCAATCTATGCCAAGCACTGAAACACACCCACAAATACCCCCCTGCTATCTAAAATGTGTGGAAATTAAATAACCTAGATAAACCTCAAAACACACATCAGTGTCTTTACAAACAAGACTGATTAGAAATACAATGAAAGCATAACACAGAAAAACAAAGACAGGGAAACAAAAAACTGCAGAGCATGTTTTTAGGGCTCACAAGTCCTTGATGCCCAGCACAATGCTATTAAGATGTACCAGCTCTGATATGTAATAAGCTTACCAATACAAGCAAATACACATTGCCAGGGACTTGAAAAAGCTCACACAAAACTGCAACGCATCTGCAGCTTCTTCTCTAGCATTACTGCTTTCATTATTTATACACACATACTTAATCAAATTCACAGTGCTCAGTACCTGAAGCTCAATTAATCTAAAGTGTGGATTATCTTCTCAGAGAACACTGAAATTTGCCTAGCAAATTTGCAGTGAGAACAGTATTTTAAGCTTATTAAAGAAATAAATGTTATTGCAGTAAGATTAAACTTGTGAGTTTCTTCTCACAATTTAGGTTCTCAAGGTTCTCAATCTTCTTAGATTCTCAATCTCTGGGAAGGAACAGCTTGCTCCTATGTTAACACACTTGGAGTAATCTGAGTTCTGAAGCAGAAAAACAACACCAGTGATACTAACGTATTTTCCAAATAGTTGGATAGCACACTTCAGTTTAAGTTTCTTTCAATTTTATGTCTCTGCAAAGAACAAATATCTCCACTGTTTTAATAAAGTTTCCACAGAGTGGGGTTTTTATTTTTGCTCCAGGACTCCATATCCATCATCAAGTGGAAACTAAACCATGTCCCTAAGTACATGTCTTTAAATACCTCCAGAGATGGTGACTCTACCACTTCCCTGAGAAGCATGTTTCAGTGCTTGACAACCCTTCCCATGGAGAAATGTTTCATAATACCCAATCTAAACCTTCCCTGGTGCAGCTTGTGGCTGTTACCTCTTGTCCTATCACTTGCCACTTGGAGAAAACACAAACCCTCACATCACTCAATCTCCTTTCAGGTAGCTGGAGAGAGCATAAGGTCCCCTGAGCACTTCTCCACACAAAACAAGCCCAATTCCCTCAGCTGTTCCTCATCACACTTGTGCTCCAGACCCTTCACCAGCTTTGTTGCACTCCTCTGGACCTGCAACAGCACCTCAATGTCTCTCTTGCAGTGAGGGGCCCAGAACTGAACACAGGATGCAAGGTGCAGCCTCACCAGTGCCTGTGCAGGGGGATGATCACCACCCTGGCCCTGCTGCCACATTTGCTGATACAGACCAAGATAACAGTGGCCTTCTTGGCTGCCTGGGCACAGTTGAGCTCTGTCAATCAGCACCCTCAAGTCCTTTTCTGCCGAGCAGCTTTCCACCCACTCTTCCCCAAGCCTGTTGTGCTGCATGGCATTGTTGTGGCCCAAGTGCAGGACCCAGCACTGATCTTTGCTGAGCCTCATACAACTGATCTTGGCCCATTGATGCAATCAGTCCAGGTCAGTCTCTAGAGCCTTCCTACTCTGCAGCAGGTACGTGGTGTGTCGCCCACAGACTTACTGAGGTGGTGCACTCGATCTCCTTGTCCAGATCACTGATAAAAATAATATGCAGAACTGGCCCCAATCCTGAGTCCAGAGGGACACTAGTGACCAGTCACGAACTAGATGTGACACCATTCACCACCACTCTTTGGGCTCGGTCACAAAGCCAGTCTTTTCCCTGGCGAACTGTACACACATCCAAGCCACGAGCAGCCAGCTTCTCCAGAATGCTGTGAGAAACGCTGTCAGAGGCTTTACTGAGGTCTGGGTACACAACATCCACAGCCTTTCTCTCATCCACTAAATGGTCCACCTTGTCACAGAAGGTGACAAGGTTAGTCAAGCAGGATGTGCCTTTTACAAAGTCGTGCTGCCTGGGCTGGACCACCTGCTTGTCCTGTGCATTTTTTTCCCCACGTAAAGATCATTCATACCTTTTTTCTGTTTTTGCGTCATGGTTTACTGCTTGAGGAGGCTCTCTAAGCAGAGATTTCAGTGAGCTGAATTGCTGAGTAGTACTCTCATCAAGAGCTAGGAAAACAGGCACAGTGAGGGAGTCAAGTTCTATGAGACTATTACCATGAGGAGATGAAAAAAATTTCTCATGCTGTAGTACGCACACATTACTCAAAGTGTGAGAAACCATTTTCAAAAGACAGAAACATGCCAGAAGGTTTTTTGAGAACTGATCTTGTTGCTGCATAAGCAGCAGTTTTAAAGTTTGTAGTGTCAGCTTTGCCACATGCTCAATTGGACTGGCTCTTGAATGCCAGCATAAGATTGTTAAAAACTGCTGAAAATATTTTAGGACACAATATATCCAGTGAGTATTCTCTGCAGACTTTTTTAAAGATGCATCCTGGTTTAGCAGAGAGCATTTGACAAACTGAAGAATGTTGAAAAAATGGATAATGCAATTCACTATGTAGTTCAGCATCTTATCTTTCTCTTCGACATTTTTTGAAATCCCTGTCTGCCATGCAGCAAGAAGGTTTTTCTGAATGGAATACAGTTCCACTGATAACTTATCTTTCTCTTCAGTATTGTCTTTTGCATGGATTGTATCAAACACTGATGCAAATTCTAAGCGGCCTTGATCAGCTTTACTAATGAATGAATGGATTCTTTGGCTATAGAAGCTGGAAGGGCTATTGCAAAACTGCTTTTCATCATCCGATTCTTCTTCATAATCCTAAATCAGACAAAAAAACAAAACAAAACGAAAACAAACAACAGTTTAATTCAAGCCTACTGAGAGCAAGCACAGTTCACACGCATCACCACTAGTCAGTCCCACAAATATAATTTTTATTATATTTATTATATATATTAACATGCTGAATTCATTCACAGCAGTTTCATCTAGATCTAGAACTAAATGTGGCTATTTGGAATAGCTGTGCAGAAATAAATTAAATTACCTAACAGTAACAACAAAATTACAAACACAGCAGTAGTTTTTATACCAGGAAGTGAAACCCTGCCTTTTATTAAGCACAGACCATGAGGAACAGTTTTTGCTAGATACCGGTAAGATATAAAATCCATTCAACGAAACCTCAGAAATGTCACCAAACAAATCAAAACCTGAAAGCAAGAAAAAGCGCTGGGAAAGGCTGCACAATGACTTTGATCACAGAAGCCAGAAAGGGGAAAGCTGGGGCTGTTCAGCCTGGAAAAGGCTGTGTGGAGACCTCACAGCACCCTTCGAGTATCTGAAGGGGGCCAACAAGGATGCTGGAGAGATGCTCTTCATCAGGGACTATAGTGATATGACAAGGGGTAATGGCTTTAAACTTTAACAGGGGAGATTTCGGTTGGATATAAGGAAGAAGTTCTTTACTGTGAGTGTGGTGAGGCACTGGAACAGGTTGTCCAAGGAAGCTGAGAATGCTGCATCCCTGGTGGTGTTCAAGGTCAGGCTGGACAGAGCCTTGAGCGAAATGATCTAGTGTGAGGTGCCCCTGCCCATGGCAGGGGGTGGGAACTAGATAATCTTAAGGTCCTTTCCAACCCAGATCATTCTATAATTCTATGAAATTTTGAAACTAATGGAAGAACCATCTAAAAATTCAGGCTTAATATTTTATTTACTAAGGATAGTAATACTGTTGTTGTTATTATACTTTAGAGCCTGAGTATACTTAGTGCTGTAATGTTACATCTTATTATAAAGTTAAAAGTATGAAACAATAAACTCATGTACAAGTAGATTAGTACACGTTTCAAAAACTTAAAACACTGCTATGAGAAATTATGTTTGGAAAGGAAAAAAAACAAGTTTCAGTTGAGAAAAATAACCATATCTCTTTAAAAAGATGAGCATTTTAACCAATACTGAATTAGCTCAAATATACCTAGTAAGAAAAAATATATTTGAAAAAACAACAACAAAAAATCTTTTACATTTTGAATAATTTAAAATCAAATCATATCATCTGCATAGCTTTAAGTGGAAAAAATGCTATTAAGTACCAGTAAATCCATGGTTTTCTCTTTCATTTCTGCTGTGTCCTCTTCAAGGAATTTCGGAATGGTGGAAAAGATGGAACTTTGGTTTTGAGCATGTTTCAAAAGACTAGCTTTTAACGACAACAATGATCGTAAACACAGCAGTCTCCCTTTAGACTAAAAGAAACAACATCATAAAACATATTACCTGTCTCTAGCAAGATCAAACCAGATACTTCCTACACAATACAAGGAAATTGGTTTCCTCTATAAAAAGCTTCAGTTTAAAAGTCCCAGACAGAAAGAGAGAACAGATCAGCAGGCATATGTTGCACAGATAAACTGTCTGACCTTGCTTCAGGAAGGCAGAATTTTCTCAACACCAGACAACTTTACTCTCCTGCATGCTGCAAGAATCTGCTTTCTTGATCACTGAAATGATCTTACAAATTTTGCCAGTATGTAGGACTTTCTTGCCTTCTTACTAGTAACATGTCTTTTCAAGTTGTCAAACGTTTGCCTGCTCTTCTAGCTTATACATGAACGCTATCATTAACTCCCTTCTCCAAAAACCAGAAATACAAACTGAATAGGAAGAGAAGTTGTATTCCATCAGCAAATGAAAATAATTTGAATTTGGCATCTATCAGATCTTATGTGGTTGTCAACAGTTGCAGGACCTCTTTTTCCAAAGGCTTCCCGTCTCTCAAATATAGATCAACTTGAAGAGACAGAATAAAAAACAAATGCTTTAAGCAAGCTCTAATTTACAACCTCAGCTAAGGACCTAGTAGATGCATGCAAAGAGCACCATTGGGACTGTTGCTGATGACACTAAAACAGCAGCAGCGTAATATAAGAAAAGTTTTATAAAATCCTTTCTGAATCATTCTGAAAGGGTAAGTTAGTCAGAGTAGCATAATACCTGTGAGTGATCTGAACGAACTTTATAGATACAGAAAAACCATCTTCCTTTACCATTACACAAAGAACATTTAGTGACAGGTAACACTGACTGCTTTACTACATTTAACTTAAACATACAAAGAAAGGAATAAAATTTCAGGAAAAAGACGTGTATTCATTGTTTCCCAGATCAACACTATTCTCAAAAGAACTCTATAAATAAAAGGAATTCATACAAATATCAAAGTACATAAAAGTGCATAAAAATATCAAAGTATTACGGAGAACATAATGAAGGACTCTGCAGAACACGAAGGACTCTGGAGAACATAGAGAAGGACTATAGAGCCTTGGGATAAGTGGTTAGGGGCTCTGGAGCTCAGCCTGTCTTTTCATCAATTCTCCAGGATACAGGGGAGAACCCTAAAAAGGCTAGGATTGCCTAGGTTAACAAATGGTTAGAAGGGTGGTGCCATAGTCAGGGGTTTGGGTGTCTTGAACACAGGAACTAAGTTTGTAGGCCAGGTCTACTGGAGGCTGGTGAAGCTGCTGCTTGAAGAGTAGTTTGGTTAGGAGGCTTACTAGACTGGTCAAGGAAGCTTTAAGCTAGATGTGTTGGGGGAGGGGAGTATCATTCCATCCCAATGCAACCAGTCAGTTACCAACACCTACAATAAATGCTTGGAGCAATGTAGAGATATTCCAGCTGCTCCAGCCAATGAGTTGGCTTCATTAGGAGCTCGGCTCAGATGCCTCTATACAAACACCCATAGCACGGTGAACAAACAAGAGGAATTAGAGATGTGTGCACATCTACGGGGGTATGATATAACAGGCATCACAGAAACATGGTGGGATGGCTCCTATGACTGGAGTGTTGGAAGGGAAGGTTACAGACTCTTTAGAAAAGACAGGCCCAGCAAATGGGGAGGGGGAATTCCTATTTATGTTGGGGACAGACTGGAGAGTATGGAACTCAGTCTGGGGAGAGGCGAGCAATCAACAGAGAGTTTGCGCATCAGGGTTAAAGGGAGAACAGCGATGGGAGACATTACTGTGGGGATCTGTTACAGACCGCATGATCAAGAGGACTGTGGATGAAGCTCTCAGCAGACAGACAGGAGCAACCTCATGCGTGCAGGCACTTGTTCTCATGGGGGACCTCAACCACCCTGATATCTGTTGGAGGGACTGTACGGCCTAGCACAAGCACTCCAGGAGGTTCCTCAATCGTGTGGAAGACAAGTAAAAGAAAACAAAAAGGCTTAAAACGACTTAGAAATGGCCAAAAATGCCTGAAATCAGGAAAGAGTTGCTTGCGCAAATATTAGTAAGAAAAAGGAAAAAGAACTGCTTAAAAGTGGCTGAAACTTGGCAAAACTACAAATGAAATGGCAAAAAAATGGCTTAAAGTGAGTTTCAAATGGTCAAAACAGGGATGGAAATGGCAAAAACGTGATAGAAAGGGAAATAAATGGCATAATTGGGGTAAGACAATGAAAAAACGGGTTAGAAAAAGTAAAAAATGGCTAAAAAACGGTTGGAAATTGACAAGAATGGGTTAGAAAAGGAAAAAAATGGCTTAAATCGCGTTGGAATTTGACAAAAATGGTTTAGGAAAGGAAATCAAAAAAGTCTAAAACCGACTTAGAAATGGCCAAAAATGGGCTAGAAATAGCCAAAAATGCCTGAAATCAGGAAAGGGATGCGCAAAAATTTGTGAGAAAAGGAAAAAGAACTGCTTAAAAGTGGTTGAAACTTGGCAAAACTACAAATGAAGTGGCCAAAAATGGCTTCAAGTGAGCTTCAAATGGTCCAAACTGGGTTAGAAATTTCAAAAAACGGGTTAGAAAAGGAAATAAATGGCATAATTGGGGTTAGACAATGAAAAAAGGGGTTAGAAAAGGTAAAAACTGGCTAAAAAAGGGTTGGAAATTGACAAAAATGGGTTAGGAAAGGAAAGGAAAGGCTTAAAATGGGTTAGGAATTGACAAAAGTGGTTTAGAAAAGGGGAAAAAAAGGCTTAAAAAGTGTTGGAATTTGACAAAAATTGGTTAGGAAAGGAAATCAAAAACGGCTTAAAACTTGTTAGAAAGGGGCAAAAATGCTTTAGAAGTAGACCAAAAAATGGGTTAGAAATGGCAAAAAAATGGCTGAAAACCAAAAATAATTGGGCAAGCATTAGTAAGAAAAAAGAAAAATATGGCTTAAAACAGGTTGGAAATTGACAAAAATGGGTTAGGAAAGGAAAATTGGCTTATACCGGGATGGAATTTGAGAAAAATAGGTTAGGAAAAGAAAGCAAAAAGGCTTAAAACGACTTAGAAATGGCCAAATATGGGTTAGAAATAGCCAAAAATGCCTGAAATCAAGAAAGAGATGTGCAAAAATTAGTAAGAAAAGGAAAAAGAACTGCTTAAAAGTGGTTGAAACTTGGCAAAACTACAAATGAAATGACAAAAAAATGGCTTAAAGTGAGTTTCAAATGGTCAAAACAGGGATGGAAATGGCAAAAACGTGCTAGAAAAGGAAATAAATGGCATAATTGGGGTTAGACAATGAAAAAAAGGGTTAGAAAATGTAAAAACTGGATAAAAAAGAGTTGAAATTGACAAGAATGGGTTAGAAAAGGAAAGGCTTAAAATGGCTTAGGAATTGACAAAAGTAGTTTAGAAAAGGGAAAATAAAGGCTTAAAAAGTGTTGGAATTTGACAAAAATGGGTTAGGAAAGGAAATCAAAAAAGGATTAAAACTTGTTAGAAAGGGGCAAAATGCTTTAGAAGTAGACCAAAATGGCTTGAAACAGTTTAAAAAGGAAAAAAAGCGTCAGAAATGGCCAAAAGTGGTTTGAGACCGGTTAGAAGCGGGAAAAAAATGGGTTGGAAATTGCCAAAGAAGGCTTAAAGTGGGTTATAAATGGACAAAAATGGGTTAGAAATGGCAAAAAAATGGCTGAAAACCAAAAATAATTGGGCAAGCATTAGTAAGAAAAAGAAAAATATGGCTTAAAACAGGTTGGAAATTGACAAAAATGGGTTAGTAAAGGAAAATTGGCTTATACCGGGATGGAATTTGAGAAAAATAGGTTAGGAAAAGAAAGCAAAAAGGCTTAAAACGACTTAGAAATGGCCAAATACGGGTTAGAAATAGCCAAAAATGCCTGAAATCAAGAAAGAGATGCGCAAACATTAGTAAGAAAAGGAAAAAGAACTGCTTAAAAGTGGTTGAAACTTGGCAAAACTACAAATGAACTGGCAAAAAAATGGCTTAAAGTGAGTTTCAAATGGTCAAAACAGGGATGGAAATGGCAAAAACGTGCTAGAAAAGGAAATAAATGGCATAATTGGGGTTAGACAATGAAAAAACGGGTTAGAAAATGTAAAAACTGGATAAAAAAGAGTTGAAATTGACAAGAATGGGTTAGAAAAGGAAAGGCTTAAAATGGCTTAGGAATTGACAAAAGTAGTTTAGAAAAGGGAAAATAAAGGCTTAAAAAGTGTTGGAATTTGACAAAAATGGGTTAGGAAAGGAAATCAAAAAAGGATTAAAACTTGTTAGAAAGGGGCAAAAATGCTTTAGAAGTAGACCAAAATGGCTTGAAACAGTTTAGAAAGGAAGAAAAAGTGTGAGAAATGGCCAAAAATGGTTTGAGACCGGTTAGAAGCGGGGAAAAAATGGGTTGGAAATGGCCAAAGAAGGCTTAAAGTGGGTTATAAATGGGCAAAAATGGGTTAGAAATGGCAAAAAAACGGCTGCAAACCAGAACTAATTGGGCAAGTATTAGTAAGAAAAGGAAAAATATGGCTTAAAACAGGTTGGAAATTGACAAAAATGGGTAAGGAAAGGAAAAAATGGCTTAAACCGGGTTGGAATTTGACAAAAATAGGTTAGGAAAAGAAAACAAAAAGGCTTAAAACGACTTAGAAATGGCCAAAAATGCCTGAAATCAGGAAAGAGTTGCTTGCGCAAATATTAGTAAGAAAAAGGAAAAAGAACTGCTTAAAAGTGGCTGAAACTTGGCAAAACTACAAATGAAATGGCAAAAAAATGGCTTAAAGTGAGTTTCAAATGGTCAAAACAGGGATGGAAATGGCAAAAACGTGATAGAAGGGAAATAAATGGCATAATTGGGGTAAGACAATGAAAAAACGGGTTAGAAAAAGTAAAAAATGGCTAAAAAACGGTTGGAAATTGACAAGAATGGGTTAGAAAAGGAAAAAAATGGCTTAAATCGCGTTGGAATTTGACAAAAATGGTTTAGGAAAGGAAAT